GGTCGGGACGAGGCATGAAAAAATTTTTTTACACGACAGAGTGAGAGAGGATATGTGTGTGTGTGCGTGTGTATGTGCGTGCGTTTCTATAGCGCTTTCCGAAGCAATTAAAAATGTCATCATCCAATTAAAAAGCACTTTACTCGTACAGCAAATGAACCGATAAATTCGTATGGGGTTAAAAAAAAAAAAAAATAGCACAAAAAAGGAGACATGGAAAAAATAGAAAAAAAAGAGAGAGAGGAGAGGAGGGAGTGAAGAACTTGCGTTCCGTACTCTTTGCGTATGATCGCGTACTTTAATTAGAAAATTGCGTGCATCCCGATAAAACGAATCAAACGTAATACGAATTTGTAATATACATAGGTAGATATACATTTGTATGATGGAAACGCGTTTACGAAAAATAACGCGAAGAACAAACGTGATGGGAAATAAATGGGATGAGAAGGAGAAAGAAAAAGGAAAAAAAAGAAAAAAGAAAGAAAAACGAAAAATTGACGAATGATATAATCGGTATTATAGCTTGAAGATCTGCGGAAAATGTACGGGTATGAGAAATATAAAAAGGAAGGAAGTATACGAAATCCACAAAACGAAAATGCAGATTTCCAAGCTCCGTATAATCGGCAGAGTATAGGGAGAATTAATTAGCGGCGATCCTTGGATATCCGCTTTCGTTCCAATCCCAGGAGTAGAGCCTTTTTTAAATACCGAATTACGCTCATCTCCATCTCTCTCTCTCTCTCTCTCTCTCTCTCTCTCTTTTTTCCCCCTTCCCTTTCCTCCCTTTTTTTTCTTTTTCCTATCGAACGAAAAGAAAGAAGCGATCGTCGCATGATTATCTCGAACTTCATTACGATTTATAAAAAAGCTCCCCGAACTACTCGGAGATTAAATTCTTCGAAGAGGATATCGAAAATCTCTATGCCGTATCGTGGCAGAAGATATAGAGAAAAAAGAAGAAGAAGAAGAAGAAAAGAGAACGAGAAAGAAAAAGTGGGTGGGCAGTCGTAAACGGTATTCAAAAGTTAGACAAATGGGGAATCGGACAGATATTTTATCATTTGATTTCAATTTTGAAAGATTGCTGAACAAAGAGAAAGAGATAGAAACCGATAGAGATGTATACAGAACGAGAGAGGAAAAGAGAATTTCTATGTCGTACATTTTCGACTAGATGCCGAACTAGACGAGGATATCATTATCCAATCGGTGAGCAGCTCGGCTGTATCATTGTTGAAGCCCAGAGCGAATAACGTTGGGTGCACGCGAATGATATATTGTTAGCGCATGATTGAGCGCGACGATTGCCGGACGAATGAGAAGCCTCTTGCGCGAGAACACGAGCCCGCTCTTTGATTACATAATGATTTCCCTCTTCCATTCGAAAACTGAGATTCGAACGGTGCCGTTTCCACCATTTATGGCTGTCGACCTATTGTCGATTTCGACTGAATCGCACACACGTTCGCTACTGTCGAAGCTTATTGTTATCACGCTCGTTATTGTTGGGACGCTTTATCTCTCTCTGACTCTCTCTATCATTCTGTATCACTGTTAATTTCTATCCTTCTCTCTCTCTCTCTCTCTCTCTATCTTTTTATTTGACAATTTTTTAAATTGCGATATAAAAAGAAAAAATTATTACAAATACTTAAATTTTTGTGAAAGAATTTATATAGCTTACGAAAGTTTATAAATCTTTAGCCATCTTCGTAGACGGCTTCTTTCTTCTCCTCCTTCCTCTTCTTCTTCTTCTACTACTACCGACTTTGTTCTTATCGTAGCTCTGAATTTAAATGCAACGCGTTTGCGTGGCGGTAATCGTCCGTGCGTTAATCAGATTAAACACGACTCGCGATCCCTTTTATTCGCCGCGAACACCGTGGAAAGGAGAAACGTTATCGCGGGCTAATCTCTCCTTTCCTCTGTGTTTGTGTGTGTGTGTCTCTCTCTCTCTCTCTCTCTCTCTCTCTCTCTCTCTCTCTCTCTCTCTCTCTCCTCTCCTCTCTCTCTCTCTCTCTCTCTCTCTCTCTCTCTCTCTCTCTCTCTCTCTCTCTCTCTCTCTCTCTCTCTCTCTCTCTCTCGTCGAAAGCTTTCTCATTTTCATCGGATATACATTTACGCCGGGAGGTAAGCGTTTACCAGGCGTTCTTTCATGCATACTCGTAAACAGTATTATCGCTCGACGTATTTTTAGTTCCTCCCTCTTCTTGCTCTTCAAAATACATATATATGTATGTATGTGCCTATACATATCTATTTACGTATATACCTATTACATCGAATTAATCGACGAATCGTATAGATAAAAATGCGAAATTCATCGTTCGTTAGCAAATTTCCAATGAAATTTGAAATCACCAAGCGCGATGTCTCGAATTCTCCTTCGAAAACATCGAAATTAATAGTGCGAAAAATATGACCTACCTTTCGAGAGCAGAGTTCTCGACGGGCATGAAAAATATTTTTCTCGTATAATCGTACGGTTCGCTTTTTCGTTCTTTCGTTCGTTCGTTCGTTCGTTTATTCGTTCGTTCGTTCGTTCATTCGTTCTCTCATTGGTACGTTTGATTCGTTCGAGAACGCACAGTAGAAAGAAGAAGATGGATCCCATTAGAACGCGACGTATTGAGGCAAATATTTGTAAACATTGAAGGTCTGCAAGCTTGGAAAATAGCCGGAGCAATGACGGAAAAGTGGGTCGTACAGAGAGACAGTTTCGTAATACAACGAAAAGAGACAAGACAGATCTAAAAAGAGATATAGAAAGAGAGAGAGAGAGAGAGAGAGAGAGAGAGAGGGAAAGAGAGCGAGATTATTAAGCTTCAAGTGGAAACGAACATTCGTGCAAAATTGAATTTGAATTTAGCGAATTCAACCTGAATTTCATTCCATTTAAATGAGCCAAAGAGAATACGAATCCTTGTACCCCATAGAGATATATATATATATATATATAGAAAGAGGGATAGCGAGGTAGAAAGAGAGTGAGAGAGAGAGAGAGAGAGAGAGAGAGAGAGAGAGAAATAGATGTTCATAATCTGTATGTATGGCAACGTATTTCCACGAATACAAATCTAGTGTACATATCGTGTCTATGCTAATGGACGAAAGGGTAATTCGTAATCGCTAATTACATCGAGTTAAATCTGACGTATTCGGCCGGAAACGTTGGATGGGCGTGACGTTATCCCCTGTACGAACGTGTAGAGAGAGAGAGAGAGAGAGAGAGAAAGAGAAGTGGGTTACTCCTCTCCTTCTCTTTCTCTCTCTCATTCTCACTCTCTCTCTCTCTCCCTCTCTTTCGTCTATGATTAGTGCGCACGATAAGTCGAGACGTCTGCCGTATTCTCAGCGCGTTATCTACCGGTAATTAGGCGCTTGCATTGCCGTGAAATTAAGACAAAAAGCCGGCACGTCGCGTTTCCTGCTTCTATCTCTCTCTCTCTCTCTCTCTCTCTCTCTCTCCAGGTTCACACTTCGAGTATAGGTATGTACGTATGTATGTACGTACGTGTATGTACGTTTGTGGCCTTGTCAACACCCACAACGTGGACGATGGAGTTATTGGGTGCGAGAGATGCTACGGATCGATGAACGCAAACGGTCCGTTTCCCATCATTCTCTCTCTCTCTCTCTCTCTCTCTCACTCGCTCGCTCGTTCACTCATGCTCGATAAAGAATCTCCTTTTTCTTTCTAACGTTTTCCCAGACAACAAAATACGATAAAGACTCTCGATATTTTCAATGAGCCTTTTCGTTTTCGTTTTCTCTTTCTCTCTCTCTCTCTCTCTTTTCCTTTTCTTTCCCCTACTAAAAAGAAATAACACTAGGATATCCTTGTGCAGAGATGTATATGTAGTACGTGTAGATAAGTGGCTTTAATTAGACCACTCGCAACCACTTTCAACGATCGACGATCTCGAAATTGCAATCGTTAGAAACGTTATCTCGAGTATTACCCTTACGGAAGAAAATCCCTCTCGAGTATGCCTATCTATCAAAGTATCATGAAGTGTTTACTCGGAATAGAAAAAAAAAAGAAAAAAAAAAAAAAAAAAAAAAAAAAAAAAAAAAAAAAAATCCTTTTATCCATGCGAGATCCTGCGAGAAAGTATTTGCGATAGTTAAAAATCCTTTGACCGAGGGATATTAGATAGGTATCGACTAAGGGTAAACGGACTCTCAATGAAATATTGAGAGAGAAAAAAGAAAGAAAAGAAAAAGATACGATGATGCGTTTCGAGTAACCCATCATCGTATGTTCTTAAACGTCGTATGGTCTCTCTAAACATTGGCAAGCACGAACGCGAATTTGCGGTTCCGCATGCGGCACGATACAATATGTAGTCGTGGCCTCCTGCCACGGTTTTCGTAGGTGCTGCTATCGGACACGTGGTCGGCGGCTCGCGGTTCACATAAATAATATCAAAGCACACCAGAGCCTAGACTCATTAAATAGTAGCTGAATCTCGTAATACTCACGTAATGCGGCTGAAATGAGAAATGAGTAATGGGGTCAGAACGTAGCAGAAGCCACGAGGAAGTTCGGTATTGCCGAGAGTATAATCCCTTCCTAATGACGTGCCCATTTTTAGCTTTAATACAGCTGACACGCAGTAACGATGAACATATCCGCACGTATCCGCGTATTTCCTACAGGGATTAGCGGACTTTGCGAGCAGAATAATGCGCGTATACGCGAAAGACGTACGAAGAGAACTAAAGATCGTAACTTCTCTCGTTCCGTTAGTTTCTCTCTCTCTCTCTCTCTCTCTCTCTCTCTCTCTATCTTTCTCTCGCTCCCGTGGATTCTTTATACCTAACGTAAATCTTTATAAATCTTCTCACGCGTTCTCGCCTTCGTTCTTTCTCAAAATCCCGTTAATTTCGGCTTGGTCACGACGTAGCACTTTTCTTGCCATTTTTCAAACTTCCTTCTACCATCTCGGATTCGTTAAAGCTAACATTTCTTTCAATTTTTCTTATTACAGATTTATGGACAAAGCAACAGCGGGAAGAATGGATTACGTTTGCTTTTATTGGCCTGCCTGATCGTATTGAGTAACGCTGGATTTTGTCCTAATGGTTGTACTTGCGACGACGATACCTTGGTCGTATCCTGCGTAGGCGCTAGCTTGGAAGTTATACCGATCGCTCTTAATCCGAGCATACAACGATTGGTATTGAAAGAGAATCGAATAAAGACCGTCGAGGCTGCTGTATTTCAATTTTACGGCGATCTCAAGAACGTCGACCTGTCGAGCAATCATCTGTTCAACATTCCAGACGGTAGCTTCGAGGCGCAAAAACAAGTGGTGGAGTTGCATCTGAAACACAACAAGATCTCGGCATTGACGGAGAAGACGTTTCAAGGGTTGAAGTCACTGACGGTACTAAATTTGCGGGACAATTATTTAGAAAGTCTGAAGAACGGTCTCTTCGCGTCCCTACAAAAGTTGGAGGAACTCGATCTTGGTCAAAATCGAATCTCGAAGGTTGAGCCCAATGCCTTTCAGAAGCTCGGCACCCTGAGGGTCCTATATCTCGACGACAATCAACTGAGAACGATACCGTCGCCCGCTCTGGCGCCATTGAACGCCCTTGCCGAGCTTCACATAGGTTGGAACGCATTTTCGACGTTGCCGGACGATGCTTTCAAAGGGCTCGAACAGCTGACCATTTTGGACGTTATGGGCGCCGGTTTGGACAATATCAGCGACGGTGCTTTCCGAGGTCTTAACGCTTTACGTACTTTGAAACTTGGCGGGAACAAGTTGCGCGAAGTACCGACAAAGCAGCTCGCGGTACTACCACGGCTCGAGGAACTCACTCTTGGTCAAAACTCCTTTACCATTTTGAGATCGGGCGCCTTTCAGGGTCTCTCGAAACTCAAGAAGCTCGACATCTCCGGCTCGAAGCTCTTGACCACCGTGGAACGCGGTGCCTTTTCGGACAATGCCAACTTGGAGAGTCTCGTGTTGAACAGCAACAAGCGTTTAGCCACGATGGAGGACGGTTCCTTGGCGGGATTGCCGAATCTCCGACACCTTATGTTACGGGATAACGCGTTCACGAGCTTTTCCGAGTCCCTCGTCGCTTGGAACGAGCTACGTAGATTGGATTTAAGCGAGAACCCGATCGTATGCGATTGCAGTCTGATGTGGTTGGCCGAGGTGCTCGTGCCACGAAATTCTAGTCCCGTGATATGTGCCGAGCCGGCAGAATCCAAAGGGAAATCGATCAAGGGTATGACGCCGGACGAGCTGGGTTGTGCCTTCTCGGATCCTCGTAAACAGGCCCTCCTGGCGACTCTATGCGCGGGTGGTCTCGCCCTTTTTACAGGCCTAGCCCTGATACTCTATTACAGATGTCGAAGGCGCGTCAGGGACGCTTTGAAAGATTACAAGTGGAAGAATCGCGGTATATCGAGGAAGGAACACGAATACCAAAAGACCTTCTCCGAGGACGAATACATCGTCAGATCGGCCCACGCTCATCATCATCATCATCATCATCAAACCCAGAATCAACCTATACCGCCTCACCATCATCATCATCATTTGCAACAGCAACAACAGCAGCAGCACCAATTGCAGCAACAGCAACAGCAACAACAACAGCACGGGCAAATGACGGTGGGGATGAAGCCGATACCCGTGACGGAACTGTAGCTAGAACTTCGGGCGGCGAGCCCCGGCACCGGAGGTGTTTGGTTCTTGCCCCACGGTAGTACCACGCTCGCCGAGGGCTTCACCTACATCGACGGTGAGACGGCGCGTCAAATGCGTCGTCCGGGAACGCTGCCCGCGTCGAGCGGTGGTCATCATCATCGCTCCAGTGGAGGAGGAGGAGGAGGAGGAGGAGGAGGCGGTGGCGGTAGCGGTGGCGGTGCTGGTGGAGCAGGAGGTGGAGGCGGGGGTGGTGGGCCAGGTGGAATGTCAATCGAGGAGAGCTCATCGTCCTTGAACGGTACCGGTGATGATCGTGCCGTCGCCGGAAGCGGTTCTACCGTTCCCGGTGCTTCCGGTAGCGGCAATAACGGCAGCACCGGTAGATCGCATTATTCCAATCTCTCGCTGCGTCGTACGCCACAGCCGCCTCAGCTGCCGTCGAGGGGCAACGATTGCATCGATAGGATGCACAGCGAGTCGAGGATTCAGAACGGAATACCCGGACACCATCCACCCCCGCCTCTACCCTCGAGGCACCAATCCACTTGCTCCCAATCCTCTTATCCGACGTTGCCCGTTAACGGACACGGAGCTCATCACTATCATCACTATCCCCGTGAGCGGGACAAGGATAGATCGTCGACACGCGAGAGGAATAATCGTGAGAGGGATGGTGGAGGGCCTCGTGCCGACAAACATCGTGAGGCACAACTAGAGATGGAACTTCACGATGGTCTCGATGTTGCCGGCATTGGAACTTATCGAGCGTAAATAATATGGAACGACGTTCGTTTGAAAATCTCTTACAAAATTGACATCGTTCTTGTGACCGTCGAATTAAACTGTGGACGGACCGACCGACTGACCGACCGACCGACCGACCGACCGACCGATGGACCGACTGACCAACCGACTGACCGACCGACCGACCGACCGACGATGTATTAAAAACTTTTCCATTGGCCGATACGACGGACGTTAAGGGACGATAATAATCTCATTGGGATTCGCAAGTCTTGCTCCGTTGTTGCCTTGGTGCGCGATAGACGCGATCTTGACGTAACACAACTATGGAAATGCGCCCGATCTCGGAGATACCACGAGTTTCGTGGATAATGGGAGTGCCAGGGAAACCCCCTTCGATCCTCTCTCTCTCTCTCTCTCTCTCTCTCTCTCTCTCTCTCACACTTTCTCCCCCCCTCTCTCTCACTCTCTCTCTATCTCTCTATCGCTCTGTCGCTCTCTCCTCTCTTCTCTGTCTTCGTCGTGCACAGCTCAACGAAAGAGAAATTGCACTAAGAAAAACTGCCATATACTGCCGTTTTAAATATTCTACAAAGTTTGCCTCAAATTCAAATATCTACTGAAAAAAAAAAAGGGAAAAATAAAAGGAGTCATATTTTTCCTGCAACTAGCAATTAACGAGAAATCGTAGATCTTGAAACAATGAAAGACGAGCATATGGTATCGAATATCGGAGTAACCAGCATAAGTCGATCGAGATCATAGATTTGGAACGTCGATGATGACTGAAAAAACTCAATTATTCGTAGATGATTTTAAGGAGTGAAGTATCGACAAAATGATTCTTATAATCTGAATCATAAGAAAGTGAAAAATCGATCCACCGATTGATGCTTCGACGAGAACGTAGAAAATGAGAAAGAGAGAAAAGAGAGAAAAACATAAGGGAGAGAGAGAGAGAGAGAAAGGGAGAGGAAGAGAGAGAGAGAGAGAGAGATCTTCATCCGTAGGCGTAACATGCGTGTCTTTAGGATAGGGTTTAGGGTCTCGAAAATAAGGCCGACGATGCGTTTTCTCTCGCGTTTCGGCTTCTAACGTGTAGGATCGACGTCTGTATCATAAAAAAGGGACAAAAAGAGGGACGATTGTACCTTCTTCACTATAATAGCGCATCGCAATTATATACATACATATAAATATACATGTATACATAAATATATATATATATATATATATATATATATATTCTAAGCGGTCGAATTATTTTCTAAATAAAAACACCAATGTATAGAGGTACGACAGAGAATGTTAGTGCGGCTAGAGTTCGCGACGTAATATGAGGGGAATGTACTTTAAAAACTTTGGATACGTTTTTGCCAGAATGAACTCAAAGGATATTTAAAAAAAAAATAATAATGATAATAATTAAAGACAAAAAAACGAATAAACGAAGAAATAAAATCAAATGTTCAAACGGCAAAAATACGTATACCAATCATTTACCTTCTGTCCCTCGATCGAAATCGAGTATCGAAATAAAGAAAAAAAAGAGAGAGAGAGAGAGAGAGAGAGAGAGAGAGAGAGAAGAAATAAATAAATGAATGAATAAAAGAAGCTTGGTACAGAAGGGATATTTATCAAAATGATGGAAAAATGTTGGAGAAAGTGAATAAAATACGCTCGTCGAATTTTATTACACGACACTTCTTTCCTTTTAGTGCTCGTTGTACGATGGTCTATATGACGTTGATCTGGAGAAAAAAATTCTGTTCGAAATTGATCTATAAATAATATGCGCAAATTTTTATATAGTTATATTATATTATATATATATATATAACTATATATAAAAATATATATGTATAGGTATGTATTTTATTCGTCTTATTTATTTTGTGAAACGGACGACCTTTTTCTTTGCATCGAAATTGCAGCTGAGATGATTGATCGATCGTTTCTCGAGTCATATCAATAATAAAATAGAATTCGTATTAATCGTTTCGCGTCTAGTAAATGAAATGAAATAAATAAATAAAAAAGATAGAATGGAAAAAAAAATAAACGATCGAATATAAAATATAAAATAAAATCTGGAAAAAAGGAATGTCAAACGAAAGAATGAAAGAAAAAGAAACCTTTTCAAAATCGAACAATACGTACAGACAGATACGAAGGCACACAAACAGGTACAAACATATCATGGTTCATTGATAAACCAAAGCAGATATAGATCCACGTAAAAGGGGGAAAAAGAAGATGTGGATGAAGGGGTAGAAATTTGTCAAGTTTCGAATTATACTCGTTGGAAGTTTCGTATTTCTTGCAAGAATGACTTGAGAGAGGACTACTTGGAAGATCCAATGATCCTCGATGCATCGTGTGTTCGTGTCCTTCTTCCTTAGAAAAGGTACGAGTTTTCGCCGGAAGCTTCGTGACGAGTTCTCAACCTCTTTGTATTAAAATGCACCGGGTGCGGTCGACTTTAAGTTAGTTAGTTTTCAAGCACGGTAATCGTTAAGAGAGAGAGAGAGAGAGAGAGAGAAAAAGATATAGAAAGAGAGAAACAGGAACGCGAACGCTTTGCTCGTGTACTCAAGAAAGAGAAAGAAAAAGAAGGATGATGAAAGATAGACGAAGAGAGAGAGAGAGAGAGAGAGAAAGAGAGAGAAAGAGAGAGAAGAGACTGAGCCGGTGCAACCACTCGCCAGTAGAAAGATGTACTTTGCGGAACGAGATTATTTTTCCGCTCGAGTGTACCCAGTGGAATTCCACGGTCACCCTGCCTGAGAAAGGTGACTGCACTTTGAATCGACTTGCGTTCTGCCGTTATGCAGGGCGTGGAGCACCGGAATTTCAACTTTGTAGAAGGAAGATCTATGGCGTCCTCGAAAAACGATATTACGGGATGCTACGAGTCTACTCGTTGCTCTTCTTCGACAATTTTCCTTCTACTTCTTCTTCCTTCTTCTTCTTCTTCGACTTCTTATTTCTCGTTTTGTTGTTCTTATTCTTTCTTTTTTTTTTCTTTTTTCTTTTTATTTTCATCTTTTCTCTTCTTTTTTGGTACAAACAACTATGAACAACTTGGCAAGATTTCACCCTTTTGAAGAAAAAAAATAAAAAAAGATTATATATATATATATATTCTCTCAGTAACTGTTAACTTTTGCAACTTGTTCACAAAGTCGATTCAACGATATCAAAGCTCAAAGGTCGTCCGTATTTCTTATCGACGCTTTTGCCCAGGTATATTATATCCCCGATGCGATTTGACGAAGTAAGCGTACGATTATGTAAATAAACATTATTTTCGATTCCAATTCGTAATTCATTTATTATTTTCATTCGATAAAATTAAAAATCGTCGTGAACGATTAAACGATTCCAAAATTATTTTCGTCCGCGCGAACGACGATACCTTTTATCGATAAGATTTTCTTCAAACGATATAGATATAATACATTCCTTTGCCGATTATCCAGGCATCTTCTTTATTATATTTTCGATAATAATATGTAAGAGATTGTATTATGAAGGGATATTGAAATGTAAAACTAAGTCTGTATAAACGAATAAAAAACAAACAAACAAACAAACGAACGAAACAAAAAAAAAAAAAGAAAAACCATTCAAGTTACAGGATACCTGTAGTATTAACAGACAGAGAAAGAGAGAGAGAGAAAGAGAGAGAGAGAATCTCGTTTTCTTACGATTAAAAAGAAAAAGATAAAAATTTTAAAGGGTAAATTAATCAAACTCTTTAAGACGCAAATAATTCTCGTATTGATCCTAGAAACTGATCGAAGACGTTTGAATTCCAATGAGATTTTTAACCTCTCGCCATAGCAAAGCAATTCAAAGAATGTACTTTGATGTACTAACAAGTACGTGTTAAACATGAAATATCACTGTTGAAGTCTACGGTAAAACGTGGAACTTCTAATACACGATATCCGTGATATCAATGATAAGGGCTAATAATTCGAACGTCTTCGAAATTTTAAATGAGCATTATGCGCATGCGTACGAAAAGAGAGAGAGAGAGAGAGAGAGAGAGATGCAAATTGAAAAAGGAATTTTTGAATTACAAAAAAGCGCGGATAAAAAAACGTAAGGGAAATCGATTGACACGCCGCAGAAGAGAAGGATAGTCGTGTTACAAAGGATACATTAAAATATTTAAAAAGGGAATCATTTTGATCGCAAACAAGAGAGAATGAAAGAGAAAAAAAGAGAAAGAGATAAACAGATAGATTGAGAGAGAGAGAGAGAGAGAGAGAGAGAGAGAAAAAGATTATTCCGTTTATCTCGCAAAGCTTGTAAATTATTTCTTGTAAAACCAACGATAGTGTGGAAGCACCGGGTATACACACACAAATACACATCAATAAGAAATGAAAGCTTCTTTCACGTACGTGTCAGAGCTTTTATCATTGAATGAGAACAGAACAAAACAGAGCCTGGCTCGATCAAAGGGGTAAAACACAAATACATAAACTCGATCTATATGTATATACATACATGATAAAAACAAAGCCGTACATCTTTCAATTATATCTGTTTTCATCTGTTTATTTTCATTTTTATTTATTTATTTTCTTTTTAATATTTTGTTTCCTTTTCTTATCTTTCCGGTTACTTTTTGCGCTCTTGTTTGACAATATGCGTCGAAAATAAAAGTAACAAAAATTCGATAATATAAAAAACTTGAATGTTTGTCTTTTCAATTTTGACAATTCTTGATAAATGAAAGAATATAATTGTGTCGTTCGCTGGTCAAACCTAATCGTAATTCTGTTACTTAATATTTTATATTTAAAATAAATGTAATTTAACAATTAGGCTTGATGTCACGGAAATAACAAAAATTGTTACCCTCGTTTAATAAAGAAAGTAACATACAATTTAAGTATATAACTTTATCAATTTTCTTTATATTTTTCGTTCAGTAAAATTAATCGATTTGGCAAAATGAACGACTCCATTGTCTCTCTCTCTCTCTCTCTCTCTCTCTCTCTCTCTCTCTCTCTCTCTCTCTCTCTCTTTTCTAAAATGAAAAATAAAAAGAAAAGCTGGATCTGAGTAGTCTGTAAGAAACGAGATGATATTTTTTAAACGATATGAATTCGGTTATGTATTTTTGTTAATATCAACAAAACATATGAGGCACGAATCGCAAACTTTATAATTCGTCGGAAAATAAGATAAAGAAAAATACGATAAAATTTCAAGAGGAGATATCGCAAAGGAACTTTTCGTAACGATTTTTCTCCTATAACTTTTACTCTCTTCGGTGTGTCCTATTGCAAAGACAAAAAAGGGAAAAAGATAAAAATTTAAAAAGAAAAAAGCAGAGGTAGAAGAGTAAGAGGGAAAAAAAATTACGAGGTAGGAGCGTCGTTTCTACAGGAAGGCAGAAAAAAAAGAAAACAAAAAAGAAAATAAACAGGATAAAAAGAAAAAAAAAACGATGACCGACACATCCACGTAGCGTGTCTGTAATTAATATATTGTAAATGTCCGAGGTGTGTCAAGTATCATATAGATAGTTCAAGAGAGAGTATTATTATTATTAATATTATTATTATTAGCCTTCCGGCGAGATAATGATTACAAAAAAAAAAGTAAAATAAAATAAAATAAAAAACATGTATATTTTACGATATGACTGTCATACTTAATAAATGAGGAAACAAAAAAAAAAAAAGAAAGAAAGTAAGATCTCTCCTCTTACAGAGATAAAAGAAGATTGAAATGTAACGAATTCGCTAGTCAGGAATAATGTGAAAAGAACGAAGATGAAGTAAAAAAAAAAAAAAAAAAAAAGAAAAAAGAAAAAAAAGGAAAAAAAAAAGAAAGAAAGAAAGAAAGAAAGAAAGAAAAGGATAGAAATATAATGTGTAGAATACGATTGAGATAAGTTAATTGTCATAGATATTAAATTATTGTACAAAATTGAATGCCGATAGCACGTAAGGGCCTACATATATATATATATATATATTTTTTTTTCTCCTTGTTTTTCTATCGATTATGTTCATACGTATATATATATATATATATATATATATATATATATATATATATATATATATATATATATATAAAGCGAAGCGCGATTTAGTGCGAAATATCGTAATATCTATGCACATGAAGATTTATCCACGTTCCTTTGGCGGATATCGAAGGTGAGATAAGAGTCCTGGCCTCCCTCCATAGTAGATTCTACAAATTTATCGAGCATCTTTGCGAGAAAGAACAAAAAAAAGAATGAAAGAATGAAAGAAAGAAAGTAAGAAAGAAAAAGATAAATAAATAAATAAAGAATGAAAGAGAGAGAGAAAAAGCAGCGAGAAAAGAGCTTTGCCTCTGAACATATTCCATCACAATTTATGCGTAATTTTGAGTCGCAAAATATTCCCATAAAATTCTCCATAAGAATCGTATTGCGACTTACCAATCGAATCACGAATACATAGGACTTATCATCTCACGCAAGGACATTCTCTTTCGTAAAGTCCGAAATCGTTCGAGATTCGAGAATTACAACACACACTTTCATCTTCTTACGTGTATGTTTATATGTATGTATGTATGTATGTATGTATGTTGTATGTATGTATGTATGTATGTATGTATGTATGTATGTACGTATGTATGTATGCATGATTTACAAACGTCGAAAGGAAGTTTGTGTGTGAATTACGTAGTTGCTAATCTCTTCTATAAATTATTACATTCTATTACAATCGAGATTTATACACTTATAAACAAATAGAAAAATAAGAAGAGACGAGGATTTTTGTCTTTTCTTTTTCTTCTTTTTCTATTTCTTTTTTTTTTCTTCTTTTATTCTCTTCTCTTCATCGATCGATATAACACACAACTTCTCGAAAACTCGACGATTATGAAAACGTTAATCAAATTTTTTATTCGTCCGTACTATACACATTCCATACGAGAGAAAATAAAATAAAATAAAAAAAAAAAAAAAAAAAAAAAAAAGGAAGCATACAAACGCGGACACGCACGCGCACATAATAGTAATTCGATGTAAAACAGTACGTCTTATCTTTATCTCTGGCTCTCTTTCTCTCTCTCTCTCTCTCTCTCTCTCTCTCTCTCTCTCTTTGAATAAGAAGAAAAAAAAAGAGAAAAGGAAAAAAAAATGACTAAAAAAGAAAAAAGTAAAAAATGTATCAAGTAAATTCTACTATCGTTTCATGATAATAACGCACATCGTGACGCACGTACATATGTATTAAAAATACGCAACACACATACACGTCTGTATACACGCACACGCGTGCACGATCAAAGTGTACTTAAGTTCCGTATTTCTAAGAGATCACCTTCAAGCATAATAATATATACGTATACACGAGTAAAGAAAAGTATGTGTACTCTCAGCGTAGAAAAGAGAAACAGAGACAGAGAGAGAGAGAAAGAAAGAGAGAGAGAGAGAGAGAGAGAGAGAGAGAGAGAGAGAGAGAGAGAGTGAGTCTTTTGTTCATCCTTCGAATGTAAATGGCGAGTGTGCTGTAGCCGATTATGGTGTCCACTTGAAAATCCTTCTATCTCATCGCTCGAAGAAGTTGAAGAAGAAGAAGAAGATGATGATAATGATGATGATGATATGATGATGACGAAGATGATAATGATAATGATAATGATAATGATGACGATGATGATGACGATGATGATGATGATTAATTTCTTCTTAAGAACCGAACGATGGCCTCTCACGAAGGACGACCCTACCTACACACACATACACATAAACAACACTCACTCGTAATATAACCCATTGCCATCGATCACACGGCGTGTACGTACACACAACACATAATCATCATCTCTCTCACCACTGTGTATATTCGTGTAAAGCATAGCAGAGCCTTATTGAGAAAGCAATATACATCCCTTAAAGAAAAAGGAAAAAAAAAAATAAAGTAAAGTAAAATAAATAAATAAATAAATAAACAAAAATGAAAAAGAAAAACTGCTTTAACAAAAGAAAAAAAAAAAAAGAAAAGAAAAAAAAAGTACATATTTTCAAGCTGTTAAAAATATCTCTACTTGCGGCGAACTACGTTCATTCCTACGCGTATACAGAACAAAAAGAAAATAAGAATAAAATAAAATAAAATAAAATAAAATAAAATAAAATAAAACAAGACGAGGAGGAGTATAAGGAAGAGAAGGAGGAGGAGGAGGAGTAATAATGTAATAAAAAATAAAAAAGAAAGAAAAAAAGAAAAGAAAAAATGGAAGAAAGAATGAAAGAAAGAAAAAGAAAAATTTGCGGAGAAACTAATTCCGACATGCCAAATTAAACATGTACACATAGGCACGTAAAGATATATATATATATCTATATATATATATATATATATAAACACACAGATACCATCACACACAGCACCACAATATGGCGACGGAATTGGGCTTCTCTCGCTCCTTTCACCACCCCCAACAATCAAGTTTTCGCGCCAACGAGTAACGTACTACACGCATACATGTACGCATTCGAAACGTCGAAATTGATCCAGCTGTTCGTTTTATTTATTCACAATAATTATTTCTCTTTATTCTTTGGTCCGATCGTAACTGTCACTACGTTTTATCGCCTCTCTCTTTCGCTCTCTCTCTCTCTCTTCTTTATCGAGTATATACGTATATACTTACGGACTTATATCGGATAGACACCGTAAATGATAAATCAACTTCGTCGGCGTCACCGTCGCAGTTATTAATTACGCATTAGACGATATATAAACCTTCCGACACGTTCACTCGATCGTTCGTCTTCGACTAAACCAACCAAGATACGCCCTCTGAACTTGTCTTTCCAATAGTGTTTACGATTAATCTCCATTTAGGTGTCAATCAAACAGAAAAAAAAATAATAATAAGAAAATAAAACGAAGCGTACCTTTATACGTACGTACTCTCATTAACGTTTCTTCTCTTTTTTTTTTTTTGCTTTTCCTTCGTTAATTCAATTCTTATTTCTCGCGTTACGTATGTAAATACTTTCTTACGCATACGCGTATGTTCATCACATACATTGTTATAACGTTTGCATTAATCGATTAAAAAAAAATATGTTACGATGTTTCAAAATCTTTATCGTAATGCTCCAAAACGAAATATAATATTTCTCGTTAATGGTCGTGTTTGAATTAACGTCGTGATTGATGGTAGGATGGAGGGAAAATTACTCCCAATATTTTTTCTTCTTTTTTTTTGTTTTTGTTTTTTTTTTGGGGGAATTTTTTTTTCTCTTTCACGCGAAAAAAATAACCAAGTAAATAATAAAATATTACGTCGATAATGATATTCCACGATAAACGTCGGACCACAGACGATTTTATTTATTCATTTCATGTGTAAATTTTTCCACGAATCGAGTTGTCTATTTCAAATGGACATTGATTAATAATGTATGCCAACGTCAGTGCGTTTTCTCGTAGGCGCGACAAAACTAGACGAGCCGACGAGCCAATCAACAACTAATCCGTATGTAAATATATTATGTATATCGAGGTAATGACCTATAAGAGATCATACGTCTGCCTATACTCGATTTTCTCCCTTATCTTATTGGATCTTTATTAAGAAAGAAAGAAAAAAAAAATATAAGAAGAACCATAGGAATCGTATATATAATAAATAACAAAAAGGAAAAAAAAAGATGCGCGTGTACTATAATTAATTAATTAAGAAAGAGCGTAATCACACTTCCTCGGCCTTACTTTTCAAACTTTATATATATATATATATATATATGTACTTACGTATGTACGTATGTATATATACAATATATATATATATATATATGCGAATGTATGTCGTAGGAAAATGATCCGCGTTCTTCTTCAATATTATATTAGCACTATGCCCCTTTCCAAACTTTCCTCTCTCCCTCCTGTCCCTGCGACGCTCTGGAACAAAGAAAAAAGAAAAAAAAAAGAAAAAAGAAAAAAAAAATTCAGTAACAAAAGCAAAAAAATAAAAATAAAAATGACCGATCGAGAGATTTGTATATAGTGCGAGCGAGAACGGGAAAAGAAGGCGATGTGAAATGCGATCGCGCAAAAAAAAACAAAAAGAAAAAAGAAAGAAAAAAAATATTGAATAAATAAACAAATAAAACAATAGCGGCGCTCCGTATTTCAACGCGAAGAAATATATATATATATATATATATATATAAAGGCGGAAATGCGTAGTCGTGGCTCGTAAAAATGCGAAGAAGCTCGAGCGGGTATATAATGGTGTGGGCTTTCTCGAGACCCCTGGGCCATAAAACGTAGATCATTAAATATAATATTATATAGGGATATTCCAGCGTTATTTTGTACATAAATAACTTTATCAACGGATATTAACAAATCATCAATAAAATCTATATACAAAAAGGAAAAAAAAAAGAAAAAAAAAAAAAAAAAGCTGTCCTTTTTTTTACACCTACGATCCTTTTCTATCTTTACTCGACGATCACCACAAAGTACGTAGAAGACAATAATATTTATATTTATTAAAGGTTCGTGTAACAATACAATTAAATAGTTCAATACAATATTTTTCAATCTTATGTACAAAAGCTATGCTTACACATACTGTGGCTTTCGTATCAGGTTCGTACCACGTATTTTCGACGAGTTAGGCGAGTTTCGGGTATAACTTAATAAAACAATATAAAAAAGCTTATAACGTTGAATAAATTAAAGTGAAAATTAACGACGTTGAATTTTCGGAATGTTCTTTGCGTTAAAAAATTTTGTTATTTGTTGTGCACAAGGCATATATAACATATTAATATGGATATATATATATATGTAATTTAACCTCATAATTTCTAATAATTGATAGAGATAAAGAGTCTAAGACACCGCAGCTTTTTTTTTCTTTTTTTTTTTTTCTTTTACTGTCACAATACTGCAATTTTTATTTCGCTTTTTTCTTTCATTTACTTTTTTTTTTTATTTTATTTTGTTTTTTTTTATTTATTTTTTTTCTTTCCTTTTATATATATATATATATATATATATATATATATATATATATATATAAAATTATTAGGGAACGAATGTACATCTATCATACGTCAAGCACATATTCAAATACTTATTCGGTGTCCCAATATCAATAATTCTTATTTCTTTGCAAGATTTCACTTCCCATAAATGAACTATTCATGTCACACGCAATTCACGAATATTATAGGATTAATTTTTTTTAGCCATTGCGATTCCGAGTCCTAGAACACTCGCAACACCGATAATTAAACCTCCCGCCACAGCTATACCGTAAAGACCTTCTGCAAAAAAAAAAAATATAAATTTAACGCTAATTAAATTAAGATAATTAAATTCTTTTTTTTTTTTTTTTTTCAAATACTTCCCTCTTTACGATTATTCAACATTTTATATACAATTATTATCGAACTGTTTATGTATAAGAGTTATAAAATTCATTGTCAAAAGACACATACATGGCACATAATAATACACTATAGACATTTAAATATTACAATTGAAAATTGGTCAATTATGGGTAAGTATATGGAAGATTGAAAAATATTAAAAACGAGTTTGAAATGCAAAAGTTAAAATCTAAAGCAAAATCAAGTTTTCTTTGAGGAATGTTCTTTTTACCATACGATTCATGAATTTTATATTACTCCTTACTATCATTGTAGTATATCTTAAATTATTTACAATATATACAAATTGTTTAAAATTCGTTAAAATTTTATGCGTCTCTATAAATGCCAAATGAAAAATTTAGAAATGTGATCTATACCACCCTGGTGCCAAATAGATTCACAAATATCTATTGTTAACAAAATTTTCAAAGAAAATTAATATATGATCCTGCTAACCAAAGAAATATGAAAAATATTAAAAGTAATATTACGTAATATGAATGTGGCAAAATACTAAAAATATGTTGCAACAACATTAAACTAGAATTTGTTGCAATCCTTATTTTTCTAAGACGATTGTAAGTTATGAAGAAAAAACCTTTTTCCATCCTTTTCTTAATTAACGTCTCGAGCTGTTGCACTTGTTCGTTAGCAGGTTCGACCTGGAGAAAAGCTCTGACATACGACAAAGCTTTCGAATATTCCTATAAATTTTTATTACTTTAATTAATGAGTAAAATAAAGGTTGATGTAAATTATAAGAATAAGATTAATAAATCACATACCCTTATTCTGGCATTACCAATAGCTAAATAATATAAGCAATCCCGTTTTCCGCTATCGCCGTCATCATTGTACAGATCTTCTAACAATACTATACCCTTTCTGATATCGGCTGGATATTTGCTTCTCACAAGACACCATGCATACTCAAATTGTGCTTTTTGAGTTACATCCGATGCGTGTAATTGTTCATGATATACACGTTCGAATTTCTGGAAAAAAAGAGAGAAAAAAAAAAGAAAACCATAATTTCGACGATTACAATCGTATATGAGGCATTTCAAGTAAGATAAACATTGAACAAAATGCTACAATATTTCTATAAGATAACAAATAAAATATATTTGTATTGAGCGAGAAAATGTTTGAGAATAAAATTTTTTCGACCATAATAATAACTTCGAGATGAGAAAGAAATAATCGCAAAACTTTCGTCCGATATCTATAGACGTCAATCGGTTGTTTTACAAAATGATGCAACTGCAAAGTAAAAATGAAACGAAATGAATAAGTCAGCACTGTATATAGTTAACCTAAATTCCTCTTAATGACAGATACTTATAACGATCTATATTTTTGTTTTGAAAGTATAAAATTCGTATGTGAAAGTTATTGGAGTCAACAAAAGATCATTGTATTCCTTGATAATGGCCTGTTGCTTATTTTTAAAATACCTTCAAATCTTCCGAAGAAACAACTTCATCTAGGACATCTTCCATTTTTAATGTGTGCGTTGAATCACACAGCGAACAAAAAATATTTAATCGTAACGCGTACTTAAGAGCACTGTATTTTTTATCTCTTTGACTAAGCAAGTGACATAATGTACCAAAAAGTGCAATAGATTGCAACGATAAGCCGAACAAATAAAGATAAAAGCTAAAATTTTCTGTGATTCCTATTGGCTGCGCATAGTTATTTCTTCGATGTCAAGTTTCATGGAGCAATCGCGTTACTCTGACGTACGTGCACTTATTTCCATTGGTTAAAATCGGCCATGTTAAAATTCTAAACCAATCACGTTAGAGTTTTCATCAGAAATATAAGTAAAACCTATTGAAGAATGAAATTTATATTCCTTGTGAAAAGTATTTTAATTGTAATTAAAAAGTCGAAGTAATAATTTTAATTTAATTTAATCTAATTCAATTTAATTTAATATACATACAATTTTTAATACATAAATTGATGTACTTAAAATTGTACATAATACGTATTCATATATATTACATATAAGTGTCTACCTATATATATATATATGTATTGCACTTACATTTATCTTTGAAAAAAATATTCATTATAATTAATACTATTTTATTGATTATTAGCAAATATCTCATTGAGATGTTTTGTTAAAAAATATAATGGCATACCCATTATAGTATAAAAGTCACCACTTATGCTCTCAATTAAACAACCACCAGCACCTTGCACACCATATCCTCCTGCTTTATCTCTAAGATATAAATTATACAAAGATCAATCGGTTAATTAATTACTTAAATAATGTATAATCAACAAAAAATACTCACAGACATTCTCCTGTTTTTATATACGCTTTTATTTGATCAACCGATAAATCACCAAATTTTACTTTTGTAGATGTATAAAATTTTACTTCTCTCTTTGGCGTTTTCAGACACACTCCGGTATAAACAACATGCTCTTTATTCACAAAGCTATAAATTGACATAATGACAATTGTTAATTTTGACGATATACAGTGGCTTACAAAAGTATTCAAATGGTTACATTTGCAATCTTTTATCAACAGAGAATTATTAAAATAATTTATTTGGAATAATTTTGTATCTATATTAAAGGAGAAGTTTCAAGATCATATTAGTAAAATTTGAAAATACTTCAACAATGTAACCATAGTTACAATACATTTATTATAAATAGTCATCATTAGTGGCTCACAAATTATTTCAATACCCATATTTGGTTCATAAAGATGACAAATATAAGTGTTCGAATACTTTGGTGAACTACTGTATATATACATATATATATATACATATATATATATATATAAAAATTTGAAAAATGATCTATGTATATTTCTTACTGAGATAACATACGAAATGCATCTGTTTCATCTTTTGGCTTTCCATAAATAGTATCATCTAGTGTTACAAAAGTATCTGCACCTATGATTAAAGATGGTATAACAGGATCATTTTTCAAACGTTCATATACATCATGAACTTTGAATTTTGCTAAATCTTGAATGTATTCTCCATGACTTTTATATTTGGATCTGTCTAAATTTTCATCATAATTTGATATTACTACTTCAAAATTTAAGCCCTAAAATATGAAATATCGTTTATACAAACCTAAAGTAATTACTTTAATTATTAGATCACGTTCATATAAATATATGTATATATATATATATTTATATATAATAAAGTTAAAACAAAGATCACTGATCGAATATCGAACCTACCAATTTTTGTATTATTTCATATCTTCTTGGTGATCCACTGGCCAAAATTAATCTGCCCGCTGTTAAGGCTTGCTTAGTCGGTTCCAACATTTTGCTCTTAGAATTATCTCTATTACGCAGATACAACGATAGAACTAATTAATTCCCAGGGGAATTGTTATCGACACCTATGGATCGTGAGTAAAGTAGAAATTTATAGGTTGGTTTTAACAAAAGCCAACCAATCGCATTAAATTCACAGCTTACACATGCGGCTATATGTTCTATTGTACTACAAGCAGTCGCATGTAGTTTCTAGTATGCATAGAATATGTCAAAGCAGTGCGTCGTATTACTAGTTGGTAGTATAATGTAGTTTCTGATAACGCACAGCCTAGATGTCGCTGCTTTTCATTATATTCATACTCATTGTCAATAGTACCCGTGAAATCAATGAACACTTTCATTATATCAAGAATTTATAGTACTATCGTTCTCATTGATTAAACGTTCCAAAATAATATTTCAATGATTTCACTTGTAATCACATGTAAATGTGATTTAACGAAGAAACTGTACTTTTAAACGGCACATATAATATCAAATAGATAATCTTAGGCCGCACCTATAGAATTTATCCAATCATTCTTCGTATATTTACGGTGTATATGTATGCATCCTATATACGTGGTTATGTTCATCGCGCACTTTTACACGCCTATCAAAAATTACACGCTAGAAAATGTTATTTCGATTAAACGCATTTAATCGAACGAAATCATAATAATTTCATGACAATCAAATTATTTCGAACAATTAAATTTATTTCCTTCATATTTTTAATAGATTTTCAATTAAAACCTATCATTCAAGTATTATGACGACAAATTTTTTTTATATAGAGAAATATGAATGACGTAACTATATTTATATAATCTATTCACTTTGAAGGCCAGAAAAAGCGTAGAAAAAAGAATTTCAAAGATATAACTAACGTTTCCTATCCGAGTTCTAATCGTTTCTCTCGTTCGTAGACATAAAAAGTAAAAAAAAAAAAAAAAAAAAAAAAAGAAAGTTAATTCGTCTCTCGTATCAATTTTTTCGTCGATTCATGTAATTTCATAAAAATTTCAGACATATATATATATATATATATATAAAGAAAAAAGAAAAAAGAGAATGAATATCAGAAATATTTGAAATCGAGCAACGATATATTTAACATTCGCATTTAAGATTATGTATGTATTTGTGTAGGAGCCCTGAAAAATATTAGAGCGGGAAGAAGAACTATTTTCTAGGCATAGGAGACTCTAATACATCGTAATCGGTAAATTACGTAAATGCCGCATGCCATGAACGAACCTAAAGGTCAGTCAGTCCGAGATCTTACATAATCGCAAGGCGAAAGGTTGACCCATCTTTACACCGCAGCCTCCGACTGAGTAAAGATTTTAGCATTTTTTCTTTCTATTTTTTTTTTCTTCTCAATTATTTCAATAAAAGTGATTTAATTTATTTTTCTTATTCCTTTTTGCTCGTTTTTCTTTTTCTTTTTTTGTTTTGTCTTTTTTTTTTTTTTTTTTTTTTTTTTTTTTTTTTTTTTTTTTTTTTTTTTTAAAGAAAATTATCTCACAATGATGAAATCAGTATCACCGGAAGTGTTAACATATTACGAAAGTCTTTTACGAATAAATCCAACGTAATTACATACTTTCGAGTACTTCTATTCTAAGTCTCTTACTATTCGGCCTTGACTTTCAATGCAAATCCAAAGCATATTTTAAATAAGTAATTAACGTTAATTACCGTTTCGTTAATCGCTGCTCGTACAGCTCAGGATATTGAATGAACGGACGTGTACTACGTAATCGTAATTTGCTCTAGCTATCGATCTCGTTTTATTTCGATTAAGAAGCTATGCGTTTAAGTCATAGGGTCAAGTTCACTGACATCAATTATATCTACTACATTTCCATTTCTTATATCGATTTGTAATATAAATTTATAAAAACAATTGGATCATTATTTTATTTTCTTTCTTTTCTCTTTCTTCTTTTTTTTTTTTTCTTTTTCTTACGACGTATACTTTCAGGATTTATACTTCTTTTTAATACGTAATAAATACATTAAAGAAAAAAGAAGAAATAAAGATAATAATTATTGAAATTATATTTAAAAGTTAATTATAATAATTTAACCATGAAAGTTTCGTGTAAGTTGGATATCGACTTAATTACTCACTAAAGATAAATTCTTGGTCCTCCTATAACTGTAAGCTCTTTCAAGCAGGATACGCTTTAAGTATGATCAATGGGCTTCGAAGTAACTCTCTGACGAGCTTTACAAGTTTTAATAAATATCACGGTCCTCTGAACTCTGTTAAAACTTAATAAATTATCATACCTTCGTATTGTCGTAATAAAGAAAAAGTTTCTACTCTTTTTGTGTTGTGCGATCAGGTTAACGATACCTTCCTACTGATTTTCGTCGGAATATTCGAAAATGAACGTCAAAGAAACAACTGAGCCGATTAGAATTACTTTATAAATGCATTACTTATCAGGTAGATAACACTTATCAAACAATTAAGACTTATATGAAAAAGAATAAAATAAATAAATAAACATAGCGTCACGTTATAAACTCGTTGTCTAGTGTTGATAAGTTCTAGTTATCGTAATTTATTTTTAAGACGATTGGTATGGAAGAAATATATATCTGAAAAAGAGAGAGAGAGAGAGAGAGAGAGAGAGAGAGAGAGAGAGAGAGAGAGAGAGAGAGAAAGAAAGAACTGAATTTATTTACTTCGTTAATGAGATAACAAAATATACGAAACTTTTACATAAAATCATGAAACTTTGTCCAAAGTATAATTTATGACAGAATTAATAGTATTAGAATGGACTGGAGAAGAAAAATAAGCTGGACTATCATAAAAGTGTAGCCGACTAATTACAAGGACATTATATTTACTACGCCTTCTTACGGAACCTTACGTAAGAATTTTAGATATACACGATTCTAATCGACGATATTAATTGCAACATCATTCCTGATATATGCTTTCTTTGTAATTCCTAATAGATTAATTTGAATAAATGGATAGGTTCTTTTTTAACATAATTTCCTTATTATTTTCGTCGGTAGATTTGATGAAAAATTAAATGACAAATTTTACCTCGATCGTACGAAAACCTTCTTCGCACCTAATTCTCTCTCTCTCTCTCTCTCTCTCTCTCTCCCTCTCTTTTACTCTCACTTCGGTGAAGAAGCGAAACGAAAGGAAAGTTAACGGCATTATCCTCCCGTCGAGATAACATCGAATCCGAATGGATTCGAAGGATGAGCGAATGGGCGAGCGAGCGAGCGAGCTCGTTGTCGCCACGGCATTTTGCTGGATCGTATTTTCGCATAATATCTCGTCTTATAAATTAATCCAACGTTTACGTGATTCAAAACGTTATACGCTCGTTTCAGGATCGTCCGAGGCGCGTATCAGCCGTTTTAAGGATCCAGAAGGAGTGGAGTGTGTTCTCGCTCGCAACAAGAAGAAGATGATCCAAAGAAGAAAAAAAGGAAGAAGAAGATGGGAATGAAGAAGAAAGAAGAAAAAGAAGAAGAAGAAGATCGGCGATGCTGAGAGAGCCAAGTCGAGACGTGCTGGTAATCGCCAGGCTGTCGTTATTAAATATGATTGCGCAACTCGAAAAGCGGCTCCAAAGGACGCGTATTATGACACTATGGCATGTAGTCGCGCTTCTATGGGGCACACTGCGTCATATCTCGATGTGTATGACGATACCTCTCTCTTTCTCTTTTTCTCTCTCTCTCTCTCTCTCTCTCTCTCTCTCTCTCTTTCTCTCTGTCTGTCTGTCTGTTTCTGTCTCTGTCTCTTTACCAGACTCGTATTGCAGGTAATACGCCTGCGATCAGGGGCGTACACGAGCCTGGATCGATATCTTCTTACGTAGATATTATTATTCTCCATTCGTTCAGAGACGTCTCGATCGATCTCGTCCATCCTTTGCTCGAATAACTTCTATAACTACATATATATATATTATGCAGATACAACATCTTTGGATGGATCAGACTAGCTTGAATTTCGTCCTTCTCTCTTTTTTCTTTTTCCATCTTTTGTTGGAGAACGAAAAAAAAGTATAGAAAAAAAAAAGATAAAAGAAAAACCATGAAGAAACAGGAAAGAACAAACATGTTTTTTTCCTTCCGAAGAAGATACCCATTCGACGAGACATCCTTTTCATCGTCTACGATTTCTCGTAACGATATCCTTTACGACTTATATCGAATGCTTAAGCATGTATCGTTATATATATATATATATGTATATAGGTATATAATGAATGAACGGATATCTCAACCAAAAGCGATATCGTTGCTTAACTAAGCGGATTTTTATCATTGCAAAAAGACGTAAACGCCCAGGTAATATTATATAAACTTCAACGATCTTAGCTCATCGAGAGAGACTAGTTAACACCACCTATCAAGACTTCTATGATATAAAGAAAGAAGGAGAACAATATAGTAACAAAATGCTTCTCGATTAAATTCCCTCTTAAACGAAGATCCATTCAATTCATTGGAATGCATTCATATTTATTATCGCCAATACAAATTCTATTTATAAAATGATCGTTTATCATCGATTCGCGACCTATCCAAAAGTCGATGTTCAATCGATCCGTTTGACGTTAGGAAATGCACACGCGTGCTTTTCCGCATTATAATCGATCCCTGGTATGGTATATCTCGGTGTATAGATTATATTATGCGAAATCTTCTATACGTGACTTTTTTAGAAACGTACGAGAAGATGCACGAATACAAAATGATATATAGATATACATATATATATATAATTATGTATAAATGCATACATATATGTATATTCGCGGTTTTCTACATGCGCCACCAACGTGACGATCTCATCTTTTCATCGTCAGCTGACGCGATCGAGTCGCATGATTTGCCCATAGTCGTGCTGTACCGTACAGTCTTGACAAGAAAATTGTTTCTTGAAAATTTATCCTACGCGCGCGCGCGGATCAATGGTTTTCACCTTTTCTTCTTCTTTATTCTTTCTTTTTTCTTCTTTTTTTTTTTTCGTTAGTTCGAATCGACGAGGAAGAGATGACGATTTTTCTTTTTTTTTTTTTATTTTTTTTCATTCCGTCAGAAGGACACAATCATTGAATTCATTGCAACGACACAAGCAGCCCCCTCGGTCTTACGTTCCGTGGTGTATCGATTCGATGTAAATGGTAAAGCTTTTCGCGTGATTTCTCATCGAGACCAACGGGATCGTCATCGCGAAGAGAGAATAATCCTGCACATTTTATAGCGCGTCACAGGAATGACACGATGTAAATGTCGGTATATGGCCGTGGAACTTCGCGAGAAAGGTTGCGTACATTCGGTACGAAGATTAATATCGGACGATGCTGGGTGTTGCTTATTGAAATTCGCGACATGGATACGGTTCATGATACGTACGCGACTCGTTTCGCCGAAAAAAAAAAAAAGGGGTGGCCCTATTACTACTATGGATTGAATATTTTCATTTCTTTCTTTCTTTCTTCTTTCCTATTTTCCTTCTCTTTCTTTCTTTTATCGTTCCCTCGTTCGACCCGGATTTTGTAATTTCCTGAGAGGATCTCTCGACTTCCACCTTGAGATCGAGTCGTGTCTTGCTTTCGATTTCGGTCTAACGCTCGAATCCTCGGTTTATGAGGTCGTTTCGTCTCACGAATAACGTTCCTCCTTTGCCACTTTGTCATCGTCGTCGAGGGGAATCGTCGGGAATTCTTTCTTCTTTTCTCTTCTCTTTTTTTTTTTCCTTCTTCCCTTTTCAGACAAACTTTTTATTTCGGGTCATTGAGGAAACAAAAAAAAAAAAAGAAAAATAATGTAATGTAATTGACTATAATATCTCGACGTCGGTGGATATAAAAGAGAACCAAACGTTTTCGCGTGTTCAACGGGTATCTGATATCGATTATTAATAAATCCAACGTGTTAATATTATCGAAATCCATTAAAAGAAATTATTTTGACGGAAAGTTAAATGTTCGTTTTGTTTCTTCTCTTTCTTTTTTTCTTTCTTCTTTTCTTTTTTTTTTTTTTTTTTTTTTTTTCTTCTTTCGCTTCGTCGCCACATTTTTACGTTATATACTTTTCAATGGGTATCGCAATGTTCTATTTGAATAATTTTGCATCTTCAAAGTTTTGTGTCCGTTGTTTACGTCGAAAAACAAAGGAAAAGAATTCGAAAAGGTACAAACGTGTTCGTTTTACGGTTTAACGACCCGTTCCTGGCGTGTAACGAAACACTATGGCGGCTTTTTAATTAGTCATACGGAGATGCTGAAAAGATACGACGCGTAAAATGTGAAGACGGAGTACTGTATTTAACTGTAGGTGGATACATATAAGAAGAAGATGGAAAAGAAGAAGGAGAAATAAAAAGAAAAGAAAAGAAAAAAAAAAGGAGGAGGAAAAGAAGGTCAAAAAATTTCGGAAAGTCATGCCGTCGTAGTAGGTTCATTGGCCACTTCATTATTGTAACTTATGACCATTTCGTTTCTTCAATTGGCGATACGTGATACTTCGGTAGATGAAGTTCATGAAATTTGGATATTACCGACGATGGCTATCTTCGTTTCCATGTAACACAATCCAGATGCAATTCAAACGACTTTAAATGTTCCTTTTTTTATTTTTTTTCTTCTTTCTTTTCCTTTTTCCTTTTTTTTCTTTTTTTTCTTTTTTTTTTTTTGTCGTACATACACAGGTATAACAGATAAATCTATTAATTTATCCTTTCGAGTTAGATTATCTTTAAGATTCTTCTTGTCTACTTACACGCCTTGTTACATGCGAAACGAGCTAATTATATATTTCAACGTATCTAATCGTGATAAGTAATAAACGATACACGAAACTATATGTATTTGGAACTATATGTACGCAATCCATAAATATTAAAATCTCGTTTAACCGCGTATCTTCAAATTCGTCAACGACCAACGAGTCATGAATTTTTTTGACATTTCCAAGGATTTTAAACCGCACGCGATCCTCGTTTCTTTTCCCTCTCTCTCTCTCTCTCTTTTTTTTCTTTTTTCGTCGAAAGTTTCTTAATAAGGACTTCAACGATGGAGATACTAATTAAGGACAATAAAAATTCACGCAACGTTAGAAAACGTCATTTCGTTGACTCTATATATAGCTTGGTATTACTAAAATTGATTTTTCTTGACGGTCGACATCGAATTTCGTTGATTAACTTTTATACTTTTCTGAAATTCGATGAATCGTCGTCGTCGTCGTCGTCGTTATCGTTGTCTCGTCTTCGTCTTCGTCGAGAAGCGCAGGCAAACTGATTCTCGAGCTGAGATGTGAGATGAAAAAAAAAAAAAAAGAAAAACATCTAAACGGAAATATTACCCACTCGTTGAATTTCCTGTTCGCAAGGCCATGAAACATGAACTCATGATAAAAAGGTATAAGAAACAAACACCTCCGGTGCGAGATCGAGCGTGAAAACAGTAAATTTGCACATTAAATAGCAGGATAAAGTGAGAAATAATCAATCTTATCGGAAATATATTATGATACAGATCGTGAAGATAAGTGGGTATAATAATAGATAATAATCAAATGATTTATCATTTAACATTGCATATCTACGTTCGTCAAATTTTCTTTTCACTCGCTATGAAACTTTTCAATTTTCATTGATTTTCACATAAATGGAAAACCGATTCGTACTTTCGATAGTAAAAAGTACATTGGAAAACGTTATTCGGATGAATGACGTTAATTGATTTCGATCGACAAGCTCGCTCGTAAAATTTCTATGGATCTTTTACCGTAGCTTGGAATTTTGATTGACTATAAAATAAAAGAAAAAGAGAAAGAAAGAAGAAAAAAAAGAAAATAATAGGAAAAAGAAAAGAAAAAAATGAAAAAGAATAAAAAAAAAGAAGCACATTCGAAACATCCTCGATATCGTTAATCAAGGTTATTCGCATAAAACGTAAGATAGAGAAATGAAGAGCAAATTTCTAATAAATTCGAATTCTTATCGGAGTTATGATTATACGAGAATTTTTTCCGGGAAATCTCGTGTCATGATCCACGCGAAAGAATATCACACGCGAACACTTCGTATGCCGTTCCGTTAGACGAATCTCAATACAAACAAACAAAATTAACTAAACGAGCGTTTATTTACTTAAAAAGAAGGATTTAAATAATCAATGGATAAAACTCAAGGTCTTATTTATTAACGACAAAGTTCGCGAGAAAGATGACCTTGACATTGAGCTTAGATGTGTCTTTTCAATTATTTTATGTGAATCAAATTCGTGGTATTTATTTTGTTTTGCGTGTTCAAGCGTGTATATATACGTATATATATATATATATATATATATATATATATATATATATATATATTACGTATTTCATTATTAAAAATAAAAATTTATATATATTGATTAGATCTTTCTCCGAAAACACGTTCTTCGCATCATTCTGAATATTCGTTTCGTAACAGAAGCTGTTACATACGTAAAGAGAAAGAGTGAGAGAGAGAGAGAGAGAGAGAGAGATAGATAGTTCGAAGCTTTTCTCCGAAAGCTAAAAATAAATTTATCAATCCGATGGGTAACGGTCGGTAAAGGAAGATTAAGAGGACGATGAAAAAAAAAGAAAAAGAAAAAAGAAAGGGAAAAAAAGAAAAGAAATGGAAAAGGAAAAGGAGAAAAAGAAGAAGAAAAAATAAAGGGAAAGAAAAGAAAAGAAAAAAAAAAAAAAAAAAAAAAATTAAGCCGTAAATAATCGCGATACGTGTCACGTGGCAATGCGAAAAAGCTCTCTCGCAGTACTCGATATATCCGATGCATTTTTCCGAAGATGCACTGGTCAGAAGGAGTGCATTGTGAAGAGGGCAGGGATGACCCCTTTCACTGTAGCACGTTGGTACGGTCGCGTATATAAAGAGCCGAAGCATCTGACGAAGAAGCACAAGTACCAACCCATCTGCATCCCAAGCTCCCCGACCGGTGTCTGTGTGACCGAGAGAGATTATGTACACTATTAAGGTAGGTATATTCGAGTTTCTCACTGTCACTCTCTCTTTCTCTCTCTCTCTCTCTCTCTCTCTCTCTCTCTCTCTCTCTCTCTCTCTTTCTCTCTATTTATCCATCCATTAATCTATCCATCCATCAATTTCTCTGTCTCTCTCTTTCTCTGTCTCTGTCTCTGACTCTCTCTAATAGTCATCTTCGTAAATCGGCGCGTGCGGCCACACGCGCCACGAAGATGAGACGGTAGCTTCAAAAAGTTCGCTCATGACGTCCTAAGATAAGTCTTACGCCGGTTAACATCGAGAAAACACGGCGCGTTAACGCGACCATGTCCCGCAATAGATTTTCAAATTCGTGAATAAATTTTCCTTATCGAATTTATCCCAAACGCGTATCGCGAGTTTTCTTAACGACTCTCAATTTCTATCCATTTCTCGTGAGTTCCCTTTGTTAAGGATCGATCAATCGTGAGTTGGGGGATGAATAGACGGAGGTACATTGACACGGATGCTCCAAACCAACTTTTCTTCTCATTTCTACGTCTCTTCTATTCTTCCTGTCAATCTCTTCGAATATCTTGGTAAAATGTTACTATTGACTCTATTTTTTCTTTCCTCTACTTCTTTTTTTTTTTTGTTTTACGATTTCATTTTACTTCATTTTGTTTTTATTTTTCGATAAAAAAAAAATCTTTACAAATGTCACGAGGATTTTTCGCGATACTGTAAATGCTTCCTCCTGCGAACATATCTCCTTTGATCCATGGATCTCTCTTTCTCTCTGTGTACATTCGATCGTTCTATGGCTCGATACTCATCGAAGCTTTTACCGTATATCTCGGCTCGATAGAAAGAACAAAATAAAAAAAAGAAAAAGGAAAAAGAAGAAAAAAAAAAGATCGGGATGTATAGACAGATTTCGAAAAAAATGAGACGCGTATAATACAAAAACTAGAGGAAAAAGAATATAGTAATCGATCGATCGATCGATCGATGGATCGTCCGTAATCGCCAACGTTACGTGGGTTTCCGCGAACTTCGCTCACGCAAACGATAAAATTTGTTTATAACGTAGAATTTGCAACGACGTAATGCCGCAAATCTTACGCAGCGTTCCTTAAGTATTTCGCAATATCCTCTTGTGCACATGGAACACGTGATAGCCTCTCTCTATCTATCTTTCTCTTTGAGGAGTAAAGTTTCACCAGAGATAAATGCAAAAGAAAAAAGAATTAACGTAAAAAATATAAGAAAAGAAAAAGGAAGTAACGGCAGCTTTAGCGAGATATAATCGAATTCGATCATTAAACGATTCATAAGAAAAATAACATCGATAGGAAGAAACGTTGAAATGTTTTATTTTCTTTCTCTCTCTTCCTCTCTTTCTCTCTTTTTTATTTTAAATCTTTAAAAAGATCTTCTCGGTTTTTCTCTCTTCCGACATAATCGAATTAAATCATAATGTTTTCATTTAAATTTACTTTCCTTAACTTATCATCAGTGGAACAACAGCGGAAAAGCTTTCTTCGTTGTTTCGCTTGCGTATAGATAAAGAAGAATTGCGGGTATAAATTTTATAAAAGGGCATAAGGTTTCGCGTGATGGTTGTTAAGACGAATACGGTGTAATTCGTGGTTACAAAACGAGAAAGCACCACGATGACACGTTTTCACCGTGGAATGGCATTCGTTAAGCAATAAAATATGCGACATCAATGAATCGCATGGAATATTTTGTTACGCACACGCAGATCTCTCCGTTTAACTCTTGAATTCGGTCCTCCATCTTTTTCTTTCTTTCTTTCTTTCTTTTCTCCCTTCGAAATCTCTCACCGTGTCTCGCACGGCTTTTCGTATCTTGTTTGACAAAAAAGAAGAGAAAGGAAAAAGAAAAGAAAAGAAAAGAAAAGAAAAGAAAAGAAAAGAGAAGGAAAGGAGAAAAAAAAAGAAAGGAAAAAATATTAATCGAACGTTCCGCGAAAAAAATCGAGTCCGTGTTCAATGCAAAAGGTTAATATTACTTGATGATTACGTTTTTTATAGCCTCGTCATGTAACTTATCGGACATAATGCAGAAAAATTATTTAAAAATACTACGGTAACATATACGATCTCTCGTGGTATTGTATTTCCTCTTGATGTTTTTTCTTTTTTTCTTCTTTTTTTCTTTTTTTTTTTACGTAAATACGTACGTACGTACATAGTTAGATACATATGTTTTTCAATGGCTCTATCCTTCCTCGAACGATATCATTGTCATATGAACCAATTGCACATCTGTCTCCTTGTCGATCTCACTCGACGTTATTTCCGCTATGACTAGCGAGATCAAAATAAAAAAAGTTCAAAATTTGCCTTCGCAAGATACGACCAATCACGATCCATTCCTTCGATCGGTATCCTAGTTGAACGATCATGGAAAATGTGACTTTCGAATCGTAAAAATGTGGTTAATGCCTCGGGCACGCCCGATGCATCTCTCGCTGCATCATCGAGTCTCCTGCATGATCGTTTGACCTTATGAATGAAGGAGCATCCTCCTGCAATGTCGGTTCTTCTTCTTTTTCTTCGTTCTTTCATAATCCGTCTCTCTCTCTTATTACACGTTACCTAGAACCGGTGGATGCGCCGTCATTACCGGGTTTGTAATTCCTATTCCAACTCGTGCAACACTTATGAAATTTTCCTCACTTTGTCATTTTCTCACTCGTCAAGCGTAATAACGGACATACGAATCGATTAGCATTTTAGATTCCACTGATAAGCTACGTGGCAATGGTTATCATCTTTGATAAAGACAACGATAATGTCGAATAGACCGTGCAAAGAAATACATCATCATTGTTACTACCGTCATTCGATTTAAGAATTCATTGAAATACGTATTTTTTGATATCATTTAAAAACTCTTTATTGATATCATTTAAAAACTAGATATTAGTGGACAATTGTAATATTAGACAGGGGACAAACTACAAGATCAACAAGATTTCTTTCGTCATGGAGATGAAAATTCGCAGACGAAATTACACGCTCGTTTAGATCTGGGAGAAAAAGAGAAAAAAAAAATAGAAAAGAAAAATATGTACCTACTTGGCGTACACTTGGTACCACTTTTGTGTTGCCATTACGCTGCATTTCATAATGCATTTGTAATGTCATTTGCAACTGACGTAACTGCGCTCTCGGTACAGTCTCTCTCTATTTCTCTCTCTCTCTCTCTCTCTCTCTCTCTAAGCATTATCATCTTCAGTTGCCCTTTTGCAGACACGTTCCACAGAGCCACGCCATGCCACGCGCGGTTGTTACTTTCACGAATTCTATGAATATTTGAACGTACCCAAAAGGCATTACAAATGGTATTCCCGATACAGTGGCCTTTTGTTTTCACTATTCGCGAATACCCTATACTAATGCTATGGCCAATTTGTTCGTTTTTTATTTTTTCCTTTTTTTCGAGCCTATTAATTCGATCGAAGTGGAAAATTTACATTTAAAAGTGGTACCAAAAGAGACAACGACGTATCCACACGAATTCATTTTTCATTCGGTATACTCGTCTTATAATTTCCCAAGTGAAAATTATTATTTTCTAATAATTGTTTCCAATAAGAAATAAAAAGCATCTCAATTAATTTGATTTTCGTATTTCTTTTCGATTTTCGTATCTTCTTCCATTTTAATTTTATACGACGTTTAATAGATGCTTCGTATCATCTCTTAATAAGGTCAATTATCGAAAGTTTCTTACGTATACTCATCGTGACGTGCGAATTAGCATATTTCAAAGAAGACATTTGAATGTATTAAAAAGAATAAGACGCAAACGTTTGGTAAACGTTCGTACATTAAAAAAAAAAAAAAAAAAAAAAAAAAAAAAAAAACAAAAAAAGATAATATCTAAGAAAGGTATACACGAATCTTGTTGCAGGTGTTGGTGGGTCTCGTACTCTGTACGGCAGGAACCTTTGGCGCACCTCAACGACCATCGGGTGGCGCTGACAAGGATGCGGTGATCACGTCTCAACAACTCGAAGTTAATTTCGATGGCAATTACGTAAATAAGTAAGTCGATTGGTCGAAACGTTCGGCGTAGAAATCAAAATGCTTCGACGAAGGAGAGAAATGTTCTGTCAATGTTCGTGTCTGTCAAAATGTCATAAGCCAATGCGAGCCTTTCTCTTTTCAAAGAGACCCTTTTAACATCAATTAAAATTCGTTTCACGTGTCGCTCATGTCGGTGTTGTCGTTTCAAAGACGAACGTAGAAGTTTCTTTTCTTTTCTTTTTTTTTTTTTTCTTTCCCCCCTTTCTTTTTACTTTTCAAAATTGAGACACCTCAGACACATCGGAGGAAGATTTTACGAAAATAAAATACGTTAGACCTTTGCTAATGAAAAAAGAAACGAAAACAAAAAGAAAAGAAAATAATAGTAAAGATATTGAATCGGCGACAGAACGTTTCTTCGATCGAGTCCAAAGATCGATCGAACGATCGAACGATAACGTCAGATCCGAGTCCCATTTCGCATGGACGAATGCCGGTAGTTTGCCAGTGGCCGGTATTCGCAACGCATAACGTTAAATGCGGCTCCATTAGCATACAAGAGAAAAGTTACAATGGACAGAAGACAAGAAGGCAAGTACCTGCCTAATGACGTTCGCTACGTTCACACGCGGACGCGCACGATTCTCGCCCACACTACTGCCGACGATGATCCTTCTATCGTCGTCGTTGTTCTTTTTCTCTCTCTCTCTCTCTCTCTTTCTTTTCTTTTCTTCCTTTCTTTTTTTTATTTCTTTTTTTTTTTTAATACTCCTTTCTTTTTTTACCCGAACGACGAGGTATTGTTAGCAGCGAGTAGGTCGCGCTACTTGTTGCGGCATTCGACTTCTTTATATATACATATATATATATATATATATATATATATATATATATATCTATTACCTTTCACCCTCTCATCCCAGCTTACTCAGCATTTTCTAATGTTTAGCTTCGAAACGAGCAACGGCATCAGTCATCAGGAATCCGGTCAACCTAAACAAGTGGATAACGAGACTCCAGTAGTTTCTCAGGGTTCGGACTCTTATACGGCGCCAGATGGACAACAGGTTAGCATCACGTACGTCGCCGATGAAAATGGATTCCAGGTTCAAGGTTCGCACATCCCAACGGCACCTCCAATCCCTCCAGAAATCCAAAGGGCGCTCGAATGGAACGCGGCTCACCCTGAGGAGGACGATGGTGGTCAAGCCAGACCGATCCCGAGAGGTAATCTCTATCTCTATTTCTCTCTCTCTCTCTCTCTCTCTCTTTCTCTCTCTTTCTCGTTAAAATTAAACTATTCGGCAATACGAACTATACCGTAACGTTCCTTCTTTGTCCTTTGGTGGTTTTCATTGGTCCTGGTTAAAAGCAACCAAATCTTTACTGTCTGATCGATGCCAACTACTTTACCGTGGCTTTCCTCGATTCCTGTCCCACTCACCCTTGGCATTTCGTTTGTTTCCCTTACCTATCTGTTCAAGAGAGCTTTTGAGAACGATCGATTCCTACGGAATCGTGCCGACCACGATCCCGGCCAAACCAAATCTGCGGCTTTCGATTTCTTCTTTCCCTCAGCTAATCGAAAGATCGCTTTACGATATCTCAGAAAGATGTCATTAATCGTGATTTCCTTACTTTGTCACGATTATATTTTCGCAATCGTAAATTTAGCTTATCACGTTTCCTACGAAATCTCCATTTCTATAAGATAATTGATCAAAAAAATTTAATACGTGATCAATACCCTCGTCGTCTTTTTTTTTTCTTTTATAGGTTAAACAGCCAAACTTTACCTCAAACGTGACCTGATTCCAAGCCAGCTTGCCATGGATAGAACCGACCCCGAGCTACCGATGCAAACCATAAAAATAAATATAGTGTGGTATATTAATCTAGGATACACGTAACCGAAGCAAAAAGGCATTGAAATCGGTATATAATAACTATATACTTCCGCGAGATTCTTTATATTTTATTTGTATAGAAGTATGAAGAAGAAAAAAAAATACTTAAAATGAAAAAACAACAAAAAAAAAAACAAAAAAAAAAAAAGAAAGAAAAGAAAAGAAAAGAAAATAACACGTTCTATGAATAATATCGCACCGTTCAGCAATTCACGAAGGATCGTTACCGAGTTGCTTCTCGACCACGCAGCAGCAATCCCTCGTACGCGTGTCATAATTGATGCAGTGCACCGATCCACCTTGATGCGCGTATCGAGCATGCTTAGTATATAGATTATTATATATATATATATAATATATATAAATATATATACTTAACTTGTGATTTTTGTATATAAATAAAAAGAATACATTCTGCCGAAGTCCGAATGAGTTTATTAGAATTTCAATCGTTCATGCTGAACGATCAAATCCCAAACCATATTGCCCCTTCTCGCCCATTCCCTTCCATCCATTAACTGTATCAATTATATCGTTTTTATGCGATTCATTTTGCGGAAACAGTGATTATCAAAAAAAAACAAAAGAAAAAGAGAAAAAACAAAAATACCTATATATTTTGTAACTATTCTTGACTTTCTTCTTCTTCTTCCCAATTTCTTGCATTTCGATATTGTACAATATTTCTTTCTTTTCTTTCTTTTTTTTTTTTTTTTTTCCTAATAAAAGTATAGTAATAACTGTTATTACCAGACTTTTATAATGTTCGATAATTGGTTGTATTTTTGTATCAAGATCGTGATGTACTATTTTGAAAATTTTTCTCTTACAACAATATCAAACATCTTCCCACGTAATATCGTTCGTATAGTCATGAATTTATTTACGATTACTTTTAAAAAGGTTCGATCAAACGTCGCGTTGCTTTTAGTAAAAATTTCATTTGAATCTATAGGAAGCACTCTCGACTATCATTTATTGATTTTGGTTCGTACCATACATTCGAGTTAAACTCGAGGTCATATAAATCCAAAGTCGATAGACATTACTTTAGACGTTAGTTTAAGTGCAATGTTTGATACTCTAATTCATCGTTGATCAATATTATAAGAAAGAATGGTAAATCGATTTATAGTCTTGTAGAAATCTCGTCCTCGAGGTCGTCGTTCTCATAATTTATCAAATAATCTTTGATCTTTGATTATGACTTCGAAGGAGGCAATAATTTTTTTACTTGGAGGTTAAAACCTGATGATCTCGTGCAAAGTGTAATTACAATTTATTATTTCGTATATCTTATTTGTAAAGACTCAAGTGAAAGTAGAATGGATGATTGGTGTAAGTTATACTTATATCGTAAATATCGACGAGTACTTGTCTTACATAATGTGAATTAACCAAATGATACTTATGAGTACGATGAGTAACTTGTTTCCTGATTCGTCTTCCCAATTTATGTAAATGAAAATAATAAAATTCACAAAAGAGTCCAGTCTATAAATTATTTTCACTTTGTTATCACGATATGTCGTTTAAAGAGAAATTCTTTATTAGACACTTTTTGCTTTATTAAAAGAAATAATAGAAATTTTATAAAGAAAAATAAAAAATAAAAAAAAAAGAAAGTTTCTTAATAAACATATATAATATTACCCTATAAGATCACCCTATACCACCAAGAGAATATATATTTTGTTTTATGATCGATAAAATAAATTACAAACGTACACATAAAATGAAAAGAGAAAACTATACAATATGATTTATATTTCATAAGAATATCTGAATAATATAAGAATATTATTAGAAGGCAACGAACGACATATATATGTGCCTATAGGTGTATATGTTTTGCTTTTTGTTACATGTATTAGCAAAATCGTTAAACGTCTTAATTATGAGCTTTCTAGTCGTAGGATCAAATAATTCCTGAATGGCTTGATGCCCATTGATTATGCACAATCTGGCATGACTGATTCTAGAAATGGTCCTTTCTTTCTTCTATACGTCTCTCTTTTTGTCATTAACGTTACCGCAAGAATGTCAAACGTGAAAACGCTATTATGATCGATGACACTTTTCGCAATACGTGTTGTGATTCACTCCCACGTAAGTTATGTAAAACTTTCGTTATGAGATAATAAAAAATCTTAACGTCGATCTAGCAATGAATACGAATCGTGCTTTGATCGTCCAATCAACGATCAATGGTTTAACCTATTAACTATTCATTTCCTAATGAAATCGAAAGACTATTCATGAGATCAAGTTAATGAAAAAGCATTGTCTATCTACGTTGCTATAATATCCGTTACAGTAATTAAGAGCAATTAAAACGATGAACAATTGACGAGCTTCAATAACAACAAACGTTTTCTTTAACGTAACACTGTATCTCACACCAAGTATATAATACATTACTTTCACATCAGGGTACTGTTTAGCATCATTTCTCACTTATGTATTATTGCGACTGTTATTCGTTACGTTAAAACCGATGTGCTTACAGAGCCGTGTCATTGAAACCTGTAACTTTGTTATCAAAACAAATGTTAAGTAAAAAAATAAGGATCTATATATTTCAAAAAACTGTTGGAACAATTAATAATTCATGACTATGCATAATGCATGAATAATTTATAATTGTCTCTATATAGACATCTACTTGTTTATTTCAATAATAATCCTTTTTTTACTTTTTTCTCTTTTCAACTATAAATCACAACAATTCTTACCGATTGATTAAATCAAATAATTATGCGCGATAAAAAAAATTATCGTATACGTGCTTTTTATACGTACACCTACGTTTTGTACGTAAAATAGTAAAGAAAGATAAATGTAATTCTTTTATCTGTGCATTAATTATTATTAACGGATAATCAAATTTTCACGTTTAATTAATTTCATTCAACGTGAATGATCGAATGAAAGAATCCAAGGATCTCTTATTAATATGAATATGAAATTTCTACGATTAGAAAGATCTGTTCGATATTGGTCAAGCAAAGCTTGAACCGGTATCATCGAGTGACATTTGGCGCAATATGTCGACGCGGGTTGGTTCTATGTATATAAAAGGTGGGCGCTGCGGTTAAATCATCGTCAGTAACGTCCAACCGGTGGTGTCCACATGAAACTGAAGTGAAGTAATAAAGGTATCTCTTGCGTTTTACCGACAATTGATCACTATTCGATACGTCAGCTTTGACATTTTCAAATCGCATCAAAGATAGATACTTTTTAATTTATATTCGAATTAGTACATAAATCATTGGATTTGCATGTAGCTAATCACAAAGACAATATCGAATAATAATTATCGTACAATAATCATCGAAAAGTTATTTAAAATCTTTTTCTTTTTCTTTTTATTACAAACGTTTCAATAGAATTGTCAACAATTTATGATCACTTATATAATTATGAGGAGAACTTTTTGTGGCGATGAAAAAAGAAGGGGAAAAAAAAGGAAAGGAAGAAAAACGCGATAAAAAGAAAAAGAAAACGAAAGAAAAGAAGAGAATAAGAAATTAAATTAAATTAAATTAAATGAAAGAAAGAAAAAAACTAGAGACATTAATTTTTCACTTTCAGATAGAAAATGACAGGCAAGATTATCCTTTTGAGTTTGTTAGCGACAATGGCAATGGCGGCAAACGAACCGATTGCCATTGTACGTCAATCACAGGACATCAGCCCGGATGGTAGTTTTTACGCGAAATGGGAAACCGCTAATGGTATAACCGTTGAAGAACAGGGTAGTTTGAAGAATGTCGGTTCGAAGGACGAAGCCGAGGAAGTTCAGGGATCAGCTGCTTGGACAGCTCCCGATGGTACAAAGGTCAATCTTGGATGGCTGGCTAATGAAAATGGTGCCGTTTTCGAGGGTTCCCATTTGCCAACACCACCACCGACTCAACCAATTCCTGCCGCCATTCAACGTGCTCTGGACTGGATAGCTACTCATCCATACAAAGAAGATAACAAGAACAAACTTTAAACGTTTATACTCTTATTTGTATATTGTTATTATTAATGTAGAATATATTTTATTTTATTAACACAAAAAGAAATACTTTCGATCAGTTCTAATTTTATTTTTTATTCCTTTCCTCATTCCGATTATTATTACTTTAATTAAAAAATTTTCACCAAGGTAAAATAATAATTAATTGGGATAATAATTAAATAGCAGAAACAAAGGAGAAAGGAATTTCAATAGTCGAGCGCAGAACTGCATAACCTTCATTATTTGCTCTTTAATGAATTCGTCTTTCCATTAATTCCTCTTCAAGATAGGATCATTCCATTTCTTTCTTTCGATTTACTTTTTTCCCTCTCCTTTACTTTTTTTTTTTTTTTTTTTTTTTTTTTTTTTTTTTTTTTTTTTTTTTTTTTTTAATTCCAAGACTTTATTCGTTTCTATACGCACGCGGTGTATATGATCAACAACAAAAAAGTCGTTATTTGAATCTTGTAAATTATTTGTAAATTATTTGTAAATTATTTGTAAATTATTTGTAATCTTTCTTCTCTTGTCATCGATAATAAATATGTTTTCTTTCGTTTCAATTAATTTCATTTGAAATACACACGACACCTATATTATAATGCAAATATAAATGATTAATTCATCATAATTATCTATCAGAGAAGTTATTCTCACTTTATCACAAATGCGTCTGCATATGAAATACGTCTGCACACTTAAATAGTCGCAATGCTCAAACCTGATTGTCATTCATTTCTTAACTGCATAATAATAATCCCAATCGTTCGTTATAAAGGCCAATTTTCATCATTTTATGCATTTGAAAATCTAGGTTGGGGACGGCCTTATATTGTAAATAAAATAAAAAAATAGAAAAAAATTTACACTCATGCGTACGCATTTTATGAATTAATATTACATAAGCGTCACTTTAAGAAGAAAATAACTCTTCTAAGCATCACGATCGTTAACTGTCATCGTTGTCGTCTCTGTTCGTTTGAATTGCATCCGTCTATGACACTCGTGAAAAGAAAAAAAAAAAAAAAAAAAAAAAAAAAAAGAAAGAATATCTTCACGTATGTAAACAAAACTTGGATCATGTCATGGAACGTCATTAGGAATGCCAGAAGTGACAAAGTGCTTTGCTCAAATGAAGAAGTCAGTAAGAAAGTGAATATACCTGTACATGTACATTTTTATATATATTTGTTCGTAACACACACACATACACACACATATAAAACCAAATAACTCGCAAGTAGAAATGCAATGCCGAAAGTATGCAAGGCACGTATCTCAGACACCTATTCGATAATTAATACACAATGGTTACCGCGTAATACAAAAATAAATTCTTTAGCATACAACTCTTTATTACAATAACTAATTTTGCCCAACTAATATTCCTTCTTTTTTTTTTTTTACTATCTTTGTAATATCAATATTTTTTTTTCGAAATCTGAAATGAAAAAAAGAAAGGCACCTATATACCTATATATGATTATTATAATTTTATGGAAATATGGTTATGAATAGAGCGATTAATACGAAATTACATAAAACAATGTGAATGTTGTAATAAATTTATCATAAAAAACTATCGATAAATAACGTAATCATCGATTCAGTGGAGCATATTTTATCACTAAATATATCCCTCTTTTACATTCATCTACATTATAATAATAATGTATAACGATTAATAAAAAAAATTTAAATATGTACATATATGAATTGGATCAGTTGAGATTAGAAATCAAACGACATCGGTAAAATTTGAATCGATCTGAATTCCACCCCCGCATTCGTAGAAAAACTTTTCGATGCGTTTCACGATGGAAAGTATAATGTCAATCGATTGCATAAATCTAACTCATAAGATGATATAAGTCGGTATTATTCACGTAGTAAAATTTCAAAGCGAGTTGATCGTTCGTTTCATCGGTGAAAGTTCAGCAAAGATACCATCTCGAGTTCCGGTTCCTTAACCCTTGGAGGCGTGCGCGACATCGGCCATGTCAAATTGAGTAGACGCTCTCGCTCGTGCAAACATAGGTACTGTTATTGTTAGAAAGCTTCGAGAAACGACGCTATAAGTTCAATCAACGGGATCCGATTCGAAAGGTTACACGATCGTCTTTCGTCGTTCACTAATAAAAATCCTTGACGAAAGTGAAAAAAGATAGAAAAAAGAAAAAAAAAGAGAGAGAGAGAGAGAGAGAGAAAGAAAAGAGATAAAAACGGAATAAACGCTTTCCGTATGGTGTGTATAATTTGGAAATTATGTAATCCTTGAGAGTTCTTATCGTACGATCTGTCTGTTTGATTGATTAATGATAATTATGCAAGATCCATTTCGAAAAAAAAAAGAAGAAGAAATGATTCGTCGATGCTTGCCTCTATCTATCGTTTAACTTTCTAATGTAGAAAATAAGACGAAAAAGAAAGTAGAAAATTTGTCCGTTTTTTAAATTCTAATTTGTTCCTTTACAACGATTCCTAGATTTTGCTTTTAATAATAAATTTTAATTCAAGATATTTACTATTTCTTATGGTTACATCTTAAACTTCGTTCGATACGTTAGAAAATATACAAGTAGTATGTAGATAGTAGACGTAGACGTTTTTAATCAGCCAAACTATAGAAAGTGGAGCGCACGTAGGATGACGCCTTCTAAATGAATCATAAATCTCATCGATTTAAATATTCTCTCGTGACTTCTACGAGACTTCCTAGATCATTATTCAAATTCATTAGGTAGTAATAATAATCTATAATAATTTTCTATGTTGTGTTTTTTAATCAAGGTCGTGTGACAAAAAATCGTGTGACTTTTCTCCTGGGATGCAACATTTATTCTCAAACGCACTTTGATATACTTAACGACAGTTAATTACATCGGTTTGCTATTTAAGTAGATATATAAGTGTGTCATATGTCTGTGTGTGTCTGTGTGTGTATATATACGTATAATATATATATATATATGTATATATATATATATATATATATATATATTAATATAGTATCGCATAGACGTACAAATAAATATTTACAACAAATTGAACCAGAGTAGTCCATGTTCGAGGTCGGACGTTTAGAAGAGCGAAGGGAATAAGAAATAATTGGGAGAAAAGTAAGAGAAAGAGAAAAATAGGAAGAAAAAGAAAGAGACAGAGAAAATAGAAAAACGAACATAAGTGCGGCGAGACGGCGGCGTCGCGTGAACGGATTAAACTCATCATCGGGCTAAAAAGATCGTCGTTTTATCTCGATCGTAATAATATTTAAAAAGGAGCTGGTGAGATCACACTGGCGTTATAGATTGTCGGTGTTACAGATTATTCTCGTCGTCTTTCGAGGGATGTGCTGCTATCCACTCGAGTGCTTTCTGTATTAAAGCCGGAACTTCGGGTGGTACAGGAAGGTGAGCACCAACTGGTTGGAATCCATTCTCATCCGCCGTATAAGTCAAAGATATTTGTTGGCCATCGTCGCTTGGATAACTGAATGCACCTTGTGCCTCCATAGCTTCGTTCTCCGAGCCAGCGTTCTTTAATTGTCCTTGTTCCTCGGCCTTGATACCATTTCCACTTTCATAACTCCATTTGTATGATCCATCTGGATTTGGACCCTCCTGACTTTGGCTGACAATTGGTATTGGTTCATCAGCTGGAGCTGGAGCCGATGCAGCGTATGCTGCCAGCGTGACAATGGCTATCTGTTTGTTTCATGTAAAAATAAATCAAAGAGATAAATATGAATTATCTTTGATATTTTCATTAAATTCGAGTAATATTTTTACGATCTTATACTTTTGTTTTTTTTTTTCTTCTTTTTGTTTTTTACATATCGCTGACGATTTAATCGAATAATTTAATTGCATGTATTGATTTAAAATACTAATCTTTAGAGAAAAAAAATGAAAATGAGGTTATCAAAAAAGAAAAGAAAAAAGAAAAATACGTGATAGAATGGGCAGTCTCAATAACGTTATTTCAAGGGTCATTCAAAAGTCTGACGAGCTCTGCTCACAGTGGTTAAACCGTTTTGAGTCAGCCGCGGCAGTAGTAGTAAATCCGAGCGAGTTATTAGGTCAGACCATATTTCATACACGCGCCGCGCTTAACTATCCTTTCGCCTATGTATGTACGAATTAAACGTTGCGTGTAACCGCTCCAACCACCATCCGTTTTGACATCAGATGTACTTACGCGAACAATGTTTCAATATGTACTTCCTATATTTCGAAACGAATCTAGTTTTAAATTTATAATACACTTGTAAAATACATACATACATATGTATGCATAGATAATCAATATAAAAAAAAAAAAAAAAATAAATAAGGAAGAAAATAAAAAGGAAATAGAAATCTAATCTAACGGTATCTATCTTAATAAAAACGATTAAAAAAAAAAAGATAATTATACAATGGAAAATCCTTGGAAGTATCGAAATCCCAAACGTTGGAAATTGTCATCAAGACACCCCCACCACATGTGATCACCACCCTCATATACTAAAGTATATAAAACCAAATATCGGGAAATAAATATCACTGAGAGTATTCTTTGACAAGTGCACAAAATACTTTTATCACGACACCGTTAAATAAACCCGAAGCACCGATTGGATCGAATCGAATTGATGGAAAATCCTCGAAAGCACATCCCGCCCCCCTCCTAACCCTCTTATCTCTCTTTCTCGCGGCTCGATTCACCCGATATTCTCTCCATTCTAATACTTCCGATTAAAAGTCTTTTGCGACTCGAAACTTATAAACGCTTACCAATGACGTATACATGCTGCAGCAGTAATCGCTGATGGGCAAGTGTTTATCAAGCCCCGCAGCGCTCGGTGTATATATACCCCTGGAGGCATCACCAATACACCACCGTTTCCGCGGTAACGATGGCCACCATGTTACCAGGAGATACACATGGGACATGCAATAAGAGTGAGCAAGAGAGAAATCGAGATGGAGAGAGAGAGAGAGAGAGAGAGAGAGAGAAAAAGAGAGATGAAGAAAGAGAGATTTCTGAGAGGTAAGGGGAAAAGATGGACACCACGGACAAGGGTTACACACGGATCCTCATTTAACGTCTTGGCGCTTAATGCATGCGTGCTTGTGCATCTTCGTTCCTTCTCTCTCGCCTGCATTTTCATACATCCATCTGCATCCATGCATCTCTTTTTTCCACACGTTTATATCGTCGTTCCGTCTTTGTCGTCGTTGTCGTCGATACGTTGAACATTAACCAAGATGGTGGAAGAAGATGAAAGAGGAGGAGGAAGAGCAGGATGAGGAGGGGGAGGGGAACAACGACACACCGTATATCACTAAGACTACCATCGTCGGGGATCACTATGTCGCACTCTGTGCTAAATGTCATCGGGTCCCAGTTAAAGGATGCTTACTCAATTGTCATAATTTCTTTACCGACTTTTTCCCTCTTTACCACCTCTCCTCTCACTTTCTTTTTCTTTTCTCTTTTTTTTTCTTCTTCTTTGTTTTTATTCCTTCCTCTTTTTCATTTTCTCCAAGCAAATTGGTATCGTTTTCGTTGAGTCATCGCTAACTCGAATCATCGAAAAGGATATTTCTAAATTTACTGACAAACAATAGTGTACCTATACAAATGATATCTTAAATCTGAACGATTATATATATTTTTTTGTTCCTTTTTTTTTTGGTATGTTTTAATTCATTGTATCACACGTATGCGAACCCCTATAATCAACCGAATCATCCAAATGTTCTTCTTGCAAATACCCAATGAATAATCTTTTATCGATATTTTATCGGCAAAATTTCCATTTAATTATGTTCATACGATTGTAACGTTTAAAGCGTCCTTATTCGGTGATAATCGTACGCTAAACGGGAGGGAACAGGACTTAACTTAGCTACCACCAGTTTGTTTTCCATGCATGAATAATCAATGTATTAAAGGCCGTCTTTCTACTAGCCGATACTACGCCATAATCGCCGCAATGAGTCACGTATTAGCCGTAATTACCGATAATATTCGTTTTTATCCACGCGCTGTATCTCTTCTTTAAACAATTTATGGGCGCGTTACTTTTGATTTTTAATAAGATTTCATAGTTAATCGGTGCCGTTATATTATACATTGGATTTTAACCTAAGATGATACCTACTTCAAATTCAATGTGAAAGTTTACGACTTTTTCTATTTCTTTTTTTTTTTTTTTTTTTTTTTTTTTTTTATCTTTTTTTCTTCTCCCTTTCTCCCGTTTTCTTTTTTTACATCATTCATTTTTACTTAACTCAAAGAGCACGTTTTAATCGCCGTTAACACTTTAAACCGACCTTGTTGTTAAGTAGATATCTTGCATTCGTCTTATAATTAACTATCAATGCAGACCTGTTGGAATGTCAGAGATCTTTGATAATATACTGGTTATTCATGTATTCACATTGATTTTTATTTCTAGAGTAAACAAGGTGTTCCTTTATGGATTACGAATGTTTCACATTTAATCGCATATTTTTCTCTCCTTTTTTTTCACTTTTTTTCTTACTTATTATTTACTTCTTATTTATTGTTTTTTTTTTCTTTCCTATTTTCATTTTTATTAATATCATAGATTATCCCTACAAGGTAAAAAAGTATCTTTAATGTTCGTTAACAGATCGATTATGATTACGATTTAAAACGTATAATAGTTACATAATATTTAACAATCGTACAATAAACTAAATTGTAAACGATGAATGATGTATCGGCAAGCGTTAGTTTTCGCATTATTTTCTGGAAAATAAAAGAAATACATCGAATGGTAATAAATTGTATTCTCGAAGGAATGTCAGTTCTTCTCGGTTAGAAGGCAAACGGTTGAAGTTCCCGCGTGATTCACGAACACGTGCGTCATCGATAAGTTTGAAAAATTTTCTTCTGCAATGACATTTGACTTGGAATAAAATACCTATCTGCATATATTGTATATTATTAAATATCGATTTTCTGAACCTTCGATGAAACTCGATGACGGAAACGAAAAGAAAAAAAAAAGAAAAGAAAAGAAAAGAAAAAAACAAGAAAATATTTTACACGCGATAGAAATTCAAGTTAATTGTACCAACGAAGTGTATGGGCACGTGGAAAGTTAGCGCGAATAATATATATGTTTGGTCTTTTAATTAGCTGATTTACGTAATACGGGTAATGCACACAAAGGATGTGCGAATAAATATCACATGTGAAAGTACCTAACTAGGTAACGTCCTCAACTGTGTCATTACATGCTAATCCGACGAACTTATCACGTGGATCTCTAACTATTAAGGAATCATAACGACGAATTACTCGACGAGTTCAATTCTTGCTGCATCATAGTGCACGAGTAGAGAAAAGTTATTGGAGATAGACATAGGTAGGCTAACCCCGGCGACGTGACCAATTATATGATCGCTGACATATACATAATAATTTTTCATCTATATACTTATTCATTTATGCGAATTTATATAATTAATCGACACTTTAAAATATGACGGATGAATAATACTTTGAAATATTATAGTAACGTATTATTAATACATAATATTTTATATAATTAACGAAAATAGAAATGTTTTCATTAATTAATGATCAATCCAAAAATCATGGTGGAATTATTCCTTCGGTAATCGTGATATGTTCTTGATTCGCTATCGTGCATCCGTTATGCCGTAACTGACTTCGCCGGGTAAGATTAATGCACAGACACCAGCCAGAGATCTGAATTCACTGCTTATAAGGTTCGCCATGCGGAATACCAAACCGCAGGATGCGCACGTACGAATGCAGGTCGTCGTCGCAAGAGTTCAACGACGTGAACGTCGTCGACAAAATCTTCAATTTTTGACCGATCTCTCTCTCTCTCTCTCTCTCTCTCTCACTCTACTCGTTCTCAGAAATGTGAAAATATATTACGTTCTTTCGATGATGATCGATGGATCCTACGTTAGGTGACTACTACTTTCGTTCCTTATGAATCGGTTAGACTGAAAAATGAAGAAGAAGAAGAAGACATTGGAAATCCTTTGATTATTTACCATATCGATCGCGTTCGACTGAATTAAAGTTAAAAAAAGAAAAGAGAGAAAAAAAAAGAAAAAATCATTGAAAATTCTTGAGTTTTGCGCAATTTCATAAAGGGAAAGATATATATATAAAAAAAGCAATAAAGACTTTACCATTCGTTTAAAACTCGCTTACACGAAAAGGTTATATGCGCAAGGTATAGGTATAATACTTCAACGATGGCCACTGATGCAATCCTTTAAGTATTATCTTCTCTCTTTCTCTTTTTCTCTTCGTAGAATAGGTAATATCTATAGAATGATCAAATATAATTGCATCACTATATTGGCTTTAAGCGTTTACCATATATCTACATTAGATGTATATAGATATTGTGTACTTAGTTGGGTACGTTCAACTGGACCTACCGGTTACGAAGTTCGATACCTTTATTTTACATTATCATTATGAACGTTTTAAGACACTTTAAACGAAGATTAATAATAAGATTTTGATTACTCTAAAAGAAAAGAAATAAAGGAAAAAAAGAAGAAATTGAAAGGAAGAAACAAAAGAAAGAAAGAAAGAAAGAAAAAAAAAAAGATACAACTGTACGAAATAGAATAGATTCTAATCGTTCGGACGTTATTGCAATCCTTTTAGTCCGCTAATGGTTCTCTCTTAACGACCTCTCGACCTTAATGCAACTTCCTTGGAATCTTTTACGGATACACACACGTATCTCTCTCTCTCTCTCTCTCTCTCCCTTCTTTTATATCATTTACGTGTGTAAATACATTAAATTAAGGAAAGTTATGAGAGATAAAATTGCATCGAACGATTAGAAATGAAAAATTATCGATTATGATACTTTACGATCGACGAAATTCGTGTCGCGTACATTGACGACCTACCTCGACTTATTTCGATTGGACCCCCTATACTTTTATTCATCCTCTAATGTTTTTCTTCTTCATAAATGCGTACATATGTACGTACGTACGTACGTGGATAAATATCTACATACATGCATGCGTACGAATACATATATAAATAAACTGGGGTCTTTCATTCAAGTACGCATTCTTGCGAACGAAGGATTCGTTTAAGCGCGTATCCGCGTCTAACCTTTCCTTTTCGACACGGCCTTAGGAACTGCCGATGTACAAGGTATCTCCGTTGCCGCAACAGTCGCTGTATATAGCCACGCATATACTTACATATATACCTTTAATCGTTAAACCTACCGCTTTACCGTTGATATTTCGAACCTAATTTATGCCAACCAGCCAACTCAGTTGCACCGTTTGCTTTTATCGATCGATGAAATAAAAACGTTTCTTCCTGAATACCTTTTAAAACGTGGCATATTTTCTATGATCCAACGAATCAACAATATCGTCGTCACCGTCCGTATCGTTAACGAATAGAAATTATGCAAGATGTAATAATTATAAATGAGAGGTAAAATATAAGATAAAAAGAAAAAAAAAAAAAAGAAAAAAAAAGAAAAAAACAAGAAAAAGAAACCAAGGTATCATAAATATGATGGACCTTGACTGAAATTTGGAAGACGCTACTAATATAACGGATAATAGATTCTTCTCTCGTTTATTATTACGCAGTACTACGAAAGCTATAATGCGTATGCTTGTATATACATACCCATTTATGTACGTCTCTCAAGAATCCATAGGAGAGAAAAGATTCCGAAGGCTTCGTGATTCTCATTGGCAAAAGAAAGAAAGAAAGAAAGAAAGAAAGAAAGAAAAAAAGAAAAGAGATAAAAACACACCGGAAACGTTCTGTGATCCTTGAGATCGCTTAAAATTTGTTGAAAAGTTTTTAAAAAATGTCGTCGTTTAACGATCTGCATACTTTTCTCCTATTTTAGAAAAGGATGAATGAAAATCTTAAAGAGAGAGAAAGAAAG